AGTCGTAACTCTCCGGTGACAACAGGTACGCACTTGGAACGCAGAATATTGTACAGTATTGATATCGTTCAGCATTCACAGCGCCGTGCGCCGCTTCTTCTAACGACCCGTGACAATTTCGAAGTACATTTCAATTGGAATCGCTTTCTCACAAGCGGCGACGCGTGGACCTCGTGGTGGGGCTTTAAGTTGAGGGGAGGAGCGCGGACTCATTTGTAGTTTTCTGTTCATTAATTTTCGAGACACGAAACGCGGTCGAGCTGAAAACCGTTCGTGACTTTACGAGCTCCACGGTTCCAGATCAGCGCGTCCCGATTCGGTGTTATTACACTAGCTGTGGTTTGTGAGATCTGCTAAAACGGCACCCACGAGAAAATTTCCGTTTTGGTCTGTCGGATACCGAAAACATCATTAACTGTTGCCAGACTGCAATGACAAATTTTCACTAAAATCTAATAGTACTGCCAGATTAACTCTGTAGCAAAAATTATTTTCAACATTGCCCATATTATGTAATTGTATAGGTAAGACACGATTGCAGACGATCACTATTCACTATATGAGTATAATATGACTAAAGATATTATTTTGTAGTTTTGTACCCAAAAAATGACACAATTCCGGACGAAATTAGTGAAATGTTGCCAAGTTGTGCGACGTAGTTTACCGAGCTCAACGATTATCAATTTGATGATAGACTTATCATTCGGATATATAGTGAACATCATTTATACTTATTTAACAGTGCTTGATTATTTTTTGTATAGAATTCTTAGCAGTTTAGCACATCACATATTATATGCTTACCGGAAAATTCACAGATGCATTTTTTGTTTGATGACGTCATTATCAGTTAAAATACTTGCATTGCAATCTTTATTTGTACATAACAATTTTATAATCCCATCTTTTCGCTGTTATCTAAAGCATTACCTATTTATTTGTTTTGTGTAAATTCAATTAATTACCACGTTCTGATAGTTTTCCGTGGTTTAAAAAAAAAAAAAAACACTATACTATAACAACGGACAACGGTTAACACTATGACTATACTGCAGTACTTAACAGAAATTACTTTTGCAACATATTACATTTGATATGCTCAGTATTCCTACATTATCGAAGTATTATTTATAAATTTGGCTACGTATGTCCGCAGTTGTGTCCATTGATTAACTATAATTGTCCGTAATCGTGATTCGTGTTATTAAAAAGGTCGCCTTGATCATCAAATTACATTCCAAAGATTTATCCTCAAATTATATTCTATTTGCACATTATACTTTCGTTTTTTATTTCTTATCAAGGTCGCTAATATATTTTTTGTAATGAGCTATAGAAATAATTTACCTAAAAACTTATTTTTAAATTGTTTATTTGTTAATTACAATTATCTATTTATATCCTGCAGGCACTTAAGTTTAATTCGTGTAGTATTTAACCGTAATGAAAATATATAGATAAATAGGTACAATATACATATATTGTGTATATTTTTTCATATAATACAGTAATATACGACCTACGTGATTTTCAAATTCGTAGCCAAAAATAAAAAATCATAAATGCAGAAAATGATTTTTATAATATCTGTGTATAGGTAAATACTAAATAAATATAATGAAAGATATACACAGATAATTAGACAACAACAATTTTATTTGTTAACTATAAATTAATGTTTGTGTACCTAACAAAATTTAATATTTATAAAAATATGATACCTACTAAAAATCAAAGATTGATTTAAACACAGGAGTACCTTAGTAAAAATTTAATCAATATAATATTGTGTATTTATTTATTAATTTTGATCTTGTTTTATTATTGTCCCATGTATGGCACATAATAATGTTGATTACTTTAAATTTTAATGTATAAAGTTCAAATACGATACATACATACTTATGATGTGTGTTGTGCCATTAAGGCACAAATTAAACTAGAGCATTTTCAAGACCAAAAATGGTAAAATAATTTTTAAGCATTTTTTTATGTAATTTTGAACTCAAACCTACTCACATTATTTTTTAAACAAAAAAATTAATCCATGCAGAAAGGGATTAAATAATAGACATTATACGTTGTTATTGCATAGGTATCTATAGGTAGAGAAGGCTCCTAAGATTTGGTTGGAGGGGACTAAGCTATAATGTTCATAAAAATATCATACCATAGCAGATATATTTAATATTATTTTAATTAATTTACTTTTCATAGTAAAAAGAGTAAGAAAATTACTAGGTATTAGTTAATTGTCTAACTAAATATTTGCTAAAAGGAAATTACCATTTTCTTCTTCATACCTAATTATTATACTGATATGTATTTGTATGATTGATGTTGATAAGTACCTATATAGAATTAAATTTGAACTAAAATTAATTTTTTCTTAAAAAAATAAAAGTATATATAAAATTATAATACTTAATTGATAAAAAAAAATATTCACCAATTTAACACATCTTAAAATATAAAGATATATATATATAATATATATATATACAATCACAAATAAATATAGACAACATAGTACAATTCAATTTTACTTTTAATTTCATTATTTGTTTATAATTTTATTTAACTTAGTTGAATTGCCTACAATGGTATATCTTTAGGTTATATGACTAGAAAATTAATATTTATATTAGAAATATATAAACATAAGATGGTTCTTCAACATTAGCTAGTTACTACACAAATATATTATCATAAATTATGTCAATTTTGAATATTTTTATTTTGATTAGTTTACCTGTATTTATTAAAATCATCAATATTTTATTTTTTGTTATAATTTTGCTGATTAATATAATACATGTAACAAGTATTTCAGCTATAAAATATATAAGAATTGTATTTTACAACAGGTACTCAATATTCAACATATTAAATACCTACTAAGTAGATATTTTTATTTCATTACATAATATTTTTGTTTGTTTAGTAACAACATTTATTATTTAATAGTTACTTTTTAATTTTTAACTCCATAATAACTTTCTATACTTAACTTGAATACAATTATTAATTAAAATTAAAACAAGGTTTTCCTTAAGTTTTTCTTACTAAAATTAAAAAAAAAAATACTAGTGTATATAGTAAACATATTTGAACAATTAATTATTAACCTAGAGATTTAAAATTTTATACAGTATGTCAATATATAATAGGTATATGTTTAATATTTATACTATAATGAACAAGATTTCAAAGTAATCATTTAAATAAGATAATTTGTGATTTTAGTCAGATTCTTTTAAATTATGAAAAAAAAATTCAGTAAATTCTTAAATAATGCGCATCAAATGCACTAACAATATTTGATGATGACTAGGTATGTTAAAACTTAAATATCGTAGTTTTACAATTGTCTGTTGCAATTAATAACAATTAAGATAAAATATAAATTGAATAAGTAACTCTAGGTATCTAGGTACCTATAAACCTACCTACAATACGTTTATAAATGATTGGGTATTTATTTTTTTTTTTGGATTGATAATAATTAATATTCTAATTTATTCATTTATCAAATATTAGGGTTAAATATGCTATATAACATGCATTTTAGGTGTTTATTGTTAAAATATGTAAAAATATGCAAATAAAATAACTATTATTTGTTTTGTTATGAAGTAGTTCATTGACATTTCATATTAAAACAGTAGGTAGGTACCTAATTAGAATTTGCAAAAAAAACTATACCAAATGCCAATGCTGAACGCATATAATTCCTAGCCTTACAATCATATTTTCTGATCCAACCACAGATATATATATATATAATATGTAAAGATGTCAGCCGATAGCCTGATATATATCTGTGGATCCAACAGGCAACAAATATAATGCAAGTGCATAGATACCTACTATTTTCGGTAGCTTTATATGAAGTTCTTGAATATCCTTGAATCCTTCTATATTTTTCGTTTTTGTTTTTAATATCAACTCAAAATTCGACTTTCAAACTTTTTAAATTCAACATTTTACGATATCTTACGTAGGTAGTAGGTACTGTTATATTTGTAAAGCATTTTATATTTCTATCTTTAAAAATCATTGGAGTGTCCAATTTCAAAAACGTTCAGAAAAAAATGTTCTATTCAATACAACTGTATTGAATGTAAAAACACTGAAGTAGTGAAGTACCTGTTATTATAATCAAGTTGGACGAAGGTGATAATAAAATGTAAATAAAACGAAAATATTATTTGTATATTCTATGTTATACAACATTTTCTCAAAATAAATACAATATTCAGAGTGTAGATACTTTTAATAATAATTTCATTTAAATAATAACGATTATTTTACTAATAAATTAACCATAGTAATTATTTTGAACATGTTCGTTTATTTTCAAACATATTTCTTTTTATCATATTATATTATTATCATTATCATTTATCATTATATAAGTAGGCATACACATAGTGCATACCGTATACGATAAAAAACGGTACCTACCATTTTAAATGGCAGAAGCACGTTTCAAATAAGGGATACCTATGGTCCTGCCACATCAATATTTTGGAAGTTTTTAAATATTTCGTACACGGTATTATTATCGAGGGTATTTAGTCGACTCTGCAGTGGTTAAAGCCATCAAACATTTATTTTTGTCGATAACGGCGATAACAGAAACAATCTTCTTCGCATTTTCACAGCAATAATAATAATATCATCATCGTCCTGTGCAACAGAAAATAAGGTTAGCGTTTTGCCAATAGCGCTTAACAGTATTAAAAGTAATAAAACTATCGTGGACAGTGAACAGTCTGGAATTTGGATTTGTTCGCCCACCGTGGACGTTGTATAATGTATAATAATTAATTAATAACAATAATAATACGCTGTAAGTATAGAGTTGTTTGGTACGAAAAACCACGGTAATAGTAACAAAAACAATCGGTAAACGGGTCGCTGGCGAGCAGCAGCTACAACGACGGATCGCATTTGTCGCCTCCACCAGACAGCACACTGCACACCAGTGTGGTCCATAAGATAAACAACATCGGCGGCTGCGGGCCAGTGATAAGGAAGCGACGTCCCGGCGAGCAAATCAAAACATAATAAACAGCGACCCGCACTCCTCCGCACCGCCATTTTATTATACGTTCACACTCCGCACCGTCAGCACTAGCAGCGCTGTAGCATTGCAGGCCCTGGACGTTCAGCTGCAGACTTGTATAGTGTATACTGTATACCACGTTCGAGTGTCGTGAGTTCGTGACCACCGTCGTTGTCGCCCGTCAAAAAGTTTTCGCCTGTATCGCGCGTGCGTGTTGCTCGTTTGTGCGCACACTTGACCGTGTGTTTTTCACTGCTCGGCGCGTGCGTGTGTACGCGTCTTTTTTCGCGTCTCTCTGTGTGTGTGTGTGTGTGTGTGTGGTGTGTACATCTCTTTGCTGTTTCATTTGCCTTCGATTTTCGTCGTTCAGCGTCAGCTTTCGTCGTCGTCGTTGTTGTTGTCGTCATCGTCATCGTCGTCGTCACCAACGTCATCGTCGCCCCTGCCGTCGTCACAGCGACGGTTACTGTCACGTAGCGAAACACGCCCGCGTGAACGATAGGGGTTCCTAGGGACCGAACACGCGTCGTCGTCGTCGGCACGCCGTCGTGCGGCTGTGCGCGCGCGAACGCAACCGTGGAAACCGAACGTTCCCGGAGATGTGATCGTCGGTCCCGTGGCACTGTCGTAGACGCCAACCGCAAGCACCCAGTCCAGTTGACGTTATCCGTCGCTTCCGCAGCCGCCACCTTCAACATGGCGTCGTCCAACACGGATTCACCTGGTAAGTGTTACCGTCCTGCACAATGCCCCTGCCACCGCCACCCGAACCAATTGCCGCAACGCGCTATCTCATTTTTGCCCTCTTATGACAGTTTGGTTCGTTGCGGACCGGTTAACTGTCACTCGCCGTGTTTAACCGTTTGGTACTATGTACCTGCGGTGTGCATTAAGCCGGGTTTACACATTTGCAATTTTTAGGAAGCTATTTCTGCCGTTGTACAACATTCACTAATGGTATGCGATCTGTATCCAATGCTATTACGGCTTGCAGTATTTACACAATATTCGAGAACTTGCATGCGTATTCAGATCCGTACAATTTTATTCTTGCTCACATGAGATAACGCAAGCGAAATAAAGCAATCGCAATGCTATGAACTTGTCTTTATGCAAACATTAGTACCTAGTCTGAATGTTGTTGGTACGTCATTCGTTTTTTTCTCCTTCATTAGGCATCATTACATCAGGTACCTTGCTGTCTTGTGGGTGCTGTTGGATATAAATGCTTACTAAGTAATGAATATAATACCGTAACACACAATTCATCATCTGTTGTTATCAGACTAGTCTATGTATATTTTTTATCGTTTCGTGCTATCTTATTGTAATTAGTGGAATATAGGAATCATAACCAATTTGATTTATTTGTTTGGTGATTACTGATTATTAATTACTCAATTATATAGTTTCTACTTCCATGTTGACAATATTTTTACACATTTCATAACACTTAACAATTCTTATGCGTAAAATTTCAATAAATTATTTTGTTAAAAACAATATTAGATAGGTGCATGCAGCAACGTTTGTCAAACATATAATTTTCAGAGTTTATATTTTTATTAAGTGTATTCTTTTATGTAAATCTTTGTTAATAGATATAATAAATAATAAAAATTATATATGTACCTACTAATTGTGAATAAAATATATTTTAGTATGAGTGTCTACCATACATAGGTATTATACAGTTATAATAATAGTGAGTTCCTATCATAAGTTAAAAAAATTTGATGTAATTGTGGGTACTCATCTAATATGCTACCGTATGCTACCTTCTGGTACTTCATTGGTGTAGTATGCTATCTACTGTAAAATGATACCTACCAAAAAAGATTTATTAATTAATAACAATTTATTAATATGTAAAAAAAGGATTTTTTTTTCTTAAAGAGTGTTAAGTTTGGCAATCTTTTTTTTGACATCGTAAGTAAGTAGTTTTTAATAAATCACCATTTGAGTCCCTTTTATGATTATTTTTTTTTGATATTCTTTCAATGTACCTCCACAAATAACACATTTTAATTTGGAACAACTACCAAGTTCTGGGAGCAGGTTTCTTGAAGATAATTAACACATGTTTTCTTATTACATATTTGTCCATACAAATAGCGCATTGATTTGTTCGTTTTTATTTATTTTATAATAAAGAAATAAAAAATAAAACTCTCAACGATTAGGAAACATACACAATGACAACAAGATACAACATAGACTAAAATAATATATCTAAAAGTAAGTTATCACGGGTCTTGGTGGATTAGATATTATATTGGCTATTAAGCTATAATTTTGTATAATTGTTATAATATGTTATTTATTGTAATGATTCAAATGTACTTTCCCACAATAAAATGAAATAAAATAAAAATAACTACGGTAGGTAGCATACTATATGTATAAAGTTTTTTGGTAGATACTATTTTACGGTAGGTAGCATATTAAACGAGTACCTAATTGTGTAAGAATGATAAAATCATAATGATCTTAACATCTTAACACATTGACTACCATATGACTGCCAGTGATCATTTTATGAAAACATGTAATGTCATTTTTATGACTGTCAGTGATTATATTAGTTGATTACCTATATACTGTATGACTGCTGGTTACAAAAATTACGTATATTTTCTTTTATAAATTCTGAATTTGGTGCTTGGTTTATTATCACAATATGTGTGTAAGCATGGTATAGAGTAGTGGTTCTCAAACTTTTAATTTTTACTGTCCACTTAAAAAAAAAAATCTGTCAGACACTCCCTTAAAGAAAAAAGTATATTCTATATGTATAGGTGTGCGCACATGGGCAGCAGAGACAGTGTATTATGCTGCCCCTGGAATTTCTTTGGGGCTATTGTGGCCGATAAATTTTAGATAATGGACCTCGGTAAAATTATTTTTTCACATATGATCATTGTAGATAAGAAAATTATAAAAAAATTTATTTTATTTAGTGAAGTATAGATAAATATTTTATGATTATATAATTTACTAGTTTAAAACTAATAGACCTATCTACTATAAAAAAAAATAGCCATAATATTAAATTGTAAATATTATTATTTATTATCATTTATTATGGTTAAGAAATCTAAATAAACTGGGTTTTTAATGTTATTGTCTAGTTTATCGTACACCAATACGCCATGACGCTTGCGAAAAAGTATACCTTTGGTGGCTTAGTACTTTACTGTACAACTTTTTAAAAATAACCAATATAATTTTAATTTTGATCCTAATAGTAAAAAAAAAAAAAGCAAAATTATGGGCTGGTTTTAATAGTAAATTTGAAGAATAGGCCGAATTAATTTCTTGATATCCCTAAAACTGGAGGCTGCGCAGGTCTATGACTATATGCAATGAAAAATTAATTTATTGTTTATAAATAAGTATTATATTGTATATGTACAACTAAAAAAGCATCCTAATGAGATAGATGTGCTCAAAATTCTAATTTAAAATGCCCATAAAGATATTTTTAGATTTTATAAAATTATCAAGTAAGATATAAAAAAAAATACTGAAATTAAATACTATTTTTAGTGGATTTGGGTAGATTGCGCATTACTTGAAAACAAGTTTGATAGATCGCTTACGACATCACTACCATATGTTTTTTAAAGCCAATAAGTATATATTATTATTAGTAGTAGAGCAGCCATACTCAACCTGTGGCCCGCTAATGGTTTATATGTGGCCCAAACAGAACTCATTGAATTAATAAAAAAAATTTAAAACTAATATAAATATAAAATAGGTATAACAGAACAATTAAAGTGTGTCCTACGCGATTGCGATAAGAATGATTGTGTTTTTGGTATTTCCACTATTAATAATTCACACTAATTTAAAATAAATATTTAATTTTTTTACAATTAAGTTTCAAATGTTGTACATTTAGACTTGTGGCTCGTGTAATATTTCAAAATATTTTATGTGGCCCAAATGAAAAAAAGGTTGAGTATGGCAGGCAGTAGAGTAATAGTTAAATTATTTGAGAAATTTTACTTTTCTAAGCGGACAATTAAAGTTGTCAGTTACCCAACAATATTGACAATACCTTTAGCATTATGAATAAAAAATCTTTAAGTTTAAATTTTGATGAAATATATTTATTTTAAAAAGATTGAATATTTTTACTGTAGTTTTAGTTATTAAGAGGACGTTGTACCTGCACATGTTTTCTCTGTCTTACATATACATAATCAGAGTCAGATTTTCCATTAGGCATTGTGGGTAGCTGTTTAGGGCGGAAAATTTTGTTATGTTTTATTAAAAAACATCAAACATATAAAAAAAAAAAAAAATGAAAAATGAATTAATGTATATTTATGAAAAATAATTAATAATGTGTGTATTTATTTTATATTTTATATTTTTCTATATCGTATATGGTATACGGTTGTGGTAACTTGTTCAGTTGCTTACCTATTATAGGGGTGGCAAATTTTTGATGACTATAGCTGTAAATAAGATAAATCTACCTCTACATACAACATAGCAAATTTTCGTTCAACAGATTCCATTTTATGTTGTTAGCTTTAACATTAGAGTAAATTTACCTATAATCAAACTTAAATGTGAGAATTTTGTCTAGGAAATGACATAGGCTCTTATTAATATTATAATTTTAAAGTAAGTTATGAGCATTTTTAAGTTTCAATAAAATTATAGGTAACTCAGCTTAAAATTAAAATATCAATAAAAACCTATGTCATTGCTTAGATAAAATTCTTACCCTTAAGTTTGAAATAGGTAAATTTACTCTTATGTTAAAGCTAACAAAATAAAATGGATTCTGCTGAACGAAAATTTTTGTTATGTTGTAAGACTGAGATAACATATGTGGGTGTGGCGTCCTCTTAACAATTATTCAATATCATTTAACAACTCTAACAACAGTAGAAACTATTAAACATTTGTTATTTCAAATGTTTTTATACACAACCGTTTTAATAATAATTTAAATACAGTGCACATTTCACTTTGATCTTGATAGACTTAAAATTTGATAATGTTTGATTTTAGTTTTAATTTTAGCTACATATATATTCTTCAAAATTTTAATTGCATCAACCTAGTTTAAATTGGAATATTTCAAACTGTTTACAATAATCTTTAACTTAGTAGTATTTATATAACTAAGTGTATAGAATATTCTAATTAAAGTATTGTATTTTATATGTATGTTAATTTGGAATCACGAACATTTCGTTTCCGTCAAAAAAAACCAATCCACAGACATTTTGTCCCTGGCAATTATTAAGATAGGATGTTTTATCCCAGAAAGTTATTAGCCAAAGAACGTTTGGTTTCCAATAAACTTTGATATCTAAATAATTATAATTAATGTCTAAATAACAATACTACAAAATTTACAAATATATAATCAAATAGTCAGGATTTAAATAAATCACAATTGTATTAAGTCAACACAAAATGTTGTAAAAATAAATAAATTTAAATTAAATACTTTAATATTAAGGTATATTTATGTTAGGTCAACTGATTTTTGATATATTAAATATTTTATATCTATTTGAAAACCAAATCATTTCATGTATTAATTTAAATTTAGAATTTCAGTTCACAAACCTGTTAGGCTGTATAGTGCACATAAAATTTTTATTACTTATTTATAGCCTATATACTATATTAGACATCACAGAATTGTTCTTTAGAACTAAATTTATTAATTGTTAGTAAAATAATGAACTTTGAAGAAATTAATAAATAATAATGATTTAAAAAATCTGAGAACTGAATGTCCTATTATTAAAGTTACTAGGGACCAAACATACCTATGGCTAATAACTCCACGACAAAACATTTTATCTTTTTAATTGCTGGGGATGAAACGTTCATGAACTGGTTTTTTTGATGGAGACAAAACGGTGAAGGCGATACATCCGTTTACCATTCATTTTATACTGGCCACTGACCTAAAGTGTAATCTTCCTCCACTGAAATATGTAATCTACCAACATTTTAAACTTTTTACTGGTATATAATACATAATTAAATATGAGCATACTTCTATATACTCAATGTCATAGCTTTTAAACAGTTTTCAAAAGTATTATCACCACAAATTGAATATCTACATTATATTTTAAATTTAATTTGGCTGTCATGGAAACAAAGAGAATGCTCTTATTATCTAAAAGCCATTATGCAGTTTAAATGCATTTACCTCATACAACAACGCATAGATTTTCAACTAAGTTATTTTTGAAGGAAAATTTATTTGTCAATAAAAAATATTCAAAAGTAACCTGGTATATTAATATAGAAATTAATTTCATTAAGTATTTTGCTCATAATAGATCCAGAGAATAGATACAAATATTAAACATTTATTTTCCTATATTAATAGATGACATATTTGTAAAAACCTGCTTAATAAGTACATAAATTATAATAATCAAAAGTTCCTAGCTATCCAAAATCTAAATTTCTTTTTTAACCGGCACATTTAGATACATCGTATGATAAATAAAATGTTGTCATTAATACTTTTTATGCAGGGTTAATGATAATTTTACAATATTAACACATTTTTTAGATTACACCACTAATATTTATAAATGTTTTTTAATATACCATTTAAAAGAATATCAGTTATATTAATTTTGTTTCTTATTTAGAACTATAAAATTATATTCTTAAATTCACCTCGAAATTCACAAATTGGGACTGTCAAATTATGTAATTAATGGATTAATATCTTATAAATATACTTTATAATATTATAATACTCATTTAAAGTGCAATAAAAAGCATTTTCTATAATTTATTTTTTTTGATTTTCGAATGGTTTTTTTCAAAATTAAAATTTTAACTACTATTATTATTTAATTTTTTATTAAGTATGTTAGAATCAAAAATTAATTTGCTTTATATGTTCAATAAAAGAAGAAATTTTTAAAAATATCCTTATTATGCGTTTTATAGTATTTATTTATGCAAAAATCAGAATTTAGAACTTATTGGACACATTGTATATCATAATAATCAAATATTATAGTAATATATTAAAAAATGTAATGTTTTCAATAAAAATTAATACCAACCTACGGTAATACTCGTGGTAAAATGAATTACTTAAACGACAATATCTAAATCATATCATGAAATCTATGCAACAAATAAGCTGACAAATCTTTTCTGCTTAAAATTGTTTTTTATATACTATGATATAACATTGAATTCAAATTATATAAATAGTGACACACTTGACACCTACTTGATTGCAGATTATTCGTTAACCTATTTTGTTTTTTTTGTATTTTCCAATTATTAGTATTTGTGATGATAATTTTTTACTTTTGATCCTCCAAAGTATCAATTTTGCTTCTAGAAAAGTTTGAGTGCTGTGGAATTTATATTACTTCTAAGGTGATAATATACATTTATAATTGTTAACACAGCCTTTTTTTTTTTTCATTATTTAGTTAACATTTACAAAATATGATTAAATATTTAAAATTCTCTAAATTATCCTGTTCTCCTTAAAGTTAAATATTTTGATTGTTAAAAGATTCTTATGATCACACTTAACTAACTGTTATTGGTTCTAATTAAATATAACATATTTTTTTAATTTTATAAATATTAGAACTGGAATTTAAATAATACATTTTATTAGGCTTTATGAATTAATTGAGTTATTTTAAATAAATGTGGTTGGGTCTTATTTTTTTTAGTATATAAAATGTGACATTATTTCTCAACACAAATCAGTTCACATTTCTATATTATTAATTTATGATTTATGCTATAAATTATGTTTTATAATTTTTCATATGTATTTTTAAATCATGTAAAAATATTAAATTATAAATTTAATATACATTATAAATTGAAGTCTTCTTATCATAGACAGTTGATTCTTATCAGAAATGTATATCCTACTTTTGTAATCATAACATTCAGAGACTAAACTAAAAGTTCTCTTGCTATTATGTGATTTAGCCATTTTTGTATTTTTATAACTAAAGCATAAGTGCTTATTTAATAAATAATAATATATGTATAATGAAGTGGTTATGATAAATTTAAAGCTACTTTAATAGCCTAACCTACTATTTTGTTATTTAAATACTCATCTCAGTAAAAATAAGAAGTAAATCAAGAGACTAAGTTCTAATAAAATTAGGACTAAGATTTTAATCATTAAATTTTATTTTTTCCAGTTTTTATTTTTAGTACAAATTTGTTTAATGTCATGTTGAATGGATATGGACAATTTTACTTTGAATTTTTTTAGTTTTTTAGAAAATTTTACATTTGTTTGACTTTTAGTGCATTTTAAACATAGATTTTAACTTAACTTTATGTACATACAATATTATAAATATTTTATCATCAATTCATTACTTATAATTAAAATTTGTTTATCTTGCAATTTAAATTCTATTCATAGGCAATATATTATAGTATATTTACATGGGTACATAGTACATTTATGACCATGGAATACAATTAAACCAACTTAGGCATCATCAAATAAATATAACAGCAGTTATACAAATAATTAAGATACCTAATTCATTTTCATATCCAATAGATATTAAATTTTAAAGATTTTGTATATTAAGTACTTTATATGTTTATTGTAATCATAGTTTTTTAGTGCACTTTACTAGTGAATTATTTTAAATTATTGGTGCAGTTTAACAGGGTTTTAGGAAATTAAATTTTCAGCCTTACTCATAATTATTAGGCTTTAATTTTTATACAAATGCATATATTTCTACAATTTACTTAGAATAATATTATTTTGATTAATTATATTAACATTTTGTAGTATGTAGAGTCAATTGTCAATTTTCTATTTTGCATATTTAAGCAAATGGCTGTAAATATCATATTTATATATTTTATAAATAGTAAATAAATTTTTTTTTTAAATTTTGCTTTGATTTACAAAATTAATTAGTTTTTATTACTTTTCATATGCAGTTAAACCCAATAGTTTTTATAAATGTCGTTAGATCAAAATAGAATAAATCATTGATATCTGAATGTATTTAATAAAGATATTTGTACCCTTATGGTAGCAAATAATATTTCATTCTGGAAACTATAAAACCCAGTATTTAATTTTTTTTTTCAAGTACCTATATTAAATTAAAATTACCTGATAAATAAATTGATCTTATGAAAAAACTTCCTTGTTGTGAAGATGTGTCATATAAAATCAGAAAAGAAATAGGACATTGTTCTATTTGAGTATCAATAGATTTTCTGATAAGTTTTTTATCATTATTTCTACATATATATAAATCTAATAATAAAGGGTAGGTAATCATTTTCATGTTTTTAAATTTTTATGTGGATATTCAACAATATGTGTCACAAAAAAAATCTGGGCCCCCTTCAAAATATATTATTAATTATTATATTTGGTTACATTGAGTTAAGTTTTGCAAGGCATGCTATATTTTTTTAACTCCTATTAGTGTCTCATTTATTTTTATCATTCAATTATTTCAAAAATGGCTAATGATAAAAAAATTGGATTTTATTTCAGGTACAATTTATAGATGGATAGAGAGGAAGCCACTAACAGAAGCAGTTTTGTGGACATCAAAAGAAAAATTTTGGTTAATTACATCTACATGCCATTATGGGACTCATGATTGGTAAATATAGATTTTTGTAAACTGTCAGATTGTGGGTTTTGAAATTAGTTTAAATAGTACAAGTTCAAAAATTAACTATTTACTTATTTATTATTACATTTCATTATATTATTGTTTTTAGGAAATCAGTTGCTCAAGTTCTTAGACATGTGGGAGAACCTTATAGACCTCGAGAATGGTATGCACCAAAAAACTGTGAACATCAGTTTAAAATTGTTGTATCTAATCTTAGCAAGGAATTAAAATCATTGCCTTTTATTGATATGCTGCGACATATTGCTGAAGGTTTAAGAAAGGGTAAATAAATAATTATAATATAATATGCTTAAAAAATGAAATAGAAGTACAAAGAAATATATTTGAGATGAATTTTTTATGAACATAGATTATTTACGAGAAGTTAGTAAATCAAAAGAAACCTTAAAATTAAAGTACTGTAATTTATACAGTATTTTGAATCGTGTGAAACAAGGAAATTTGTCAAGAAATGAAATTGTCAGCCTTTATTCACAAGCAAGAAGGTTGAAATTATTTGTTTAATAGTCAACAGTTTGTATGTTATGTACTTAAATTTTATTTGTGTATATTTTATTTTTCCAGAAATGAAGTCGAAGGTAAACAATATTTGGATCAACTTATGACTAAGCAAAATGCTAGTTTAGCTTCAGAAAATTCTAGTTCTGGGTTAATAGAAGAGGTACAAAAACAAAAAAATAATTGCACATTAAATCAATTGATTATTTATAAAGGTGTTAGGTTAAGTTCTAAGATAAGACATTTTGAAAATTAAAAACATTAATAGTATATCTTATTACTTAGAACTCATGTATGTTATACATTTTTAAATTATTATAAGCAATAAACTATCATACAAACTTAACTTATTTCAAAAATAAAGATCTGTTGTTAATCATGAATATATTTAAAAAAATACATTTTCTGAAAAATTGTTGTTTATTTATATTCATAAATAATTGATTTAATATCTTATAAGTTATTTAATCAAAATCAGTTTATTATGTTTTTAACCATTTATGTTTATTCTACAGCCTATTAAATGGAATACACCATCTGCACCATTATTAACAAGTCTTCTAAGATCTCGTAATACTATACCAGCCAATAGAACTGCCACAACTATTACTTCTTTATTACAATCTCCTGGTGGCACATCAAGAACTAGATCTGGAAAATTATTACCATTAACTCCTAGCATTAGAACTACACAAGGTAAATTTGGATTTGTTAATATCTTTTATTATATTACATAATACTATAATTTTAAAATATAGTGGTTTGATTTTATTGACATTATTATCTTTTATAAATTATTAGGTACTCCTACACTTTCTAAACTGCTTGAAGCTCCAGCAAATCCTTATATACCAAATCCACCACAAACAGCACAGAAGAATAAGCTAAGTAAGTGTATAAATATATTCATTATACAAGTATTTAAAGCAATTATACTATAAATTTATTTTGGTTCTGTTGTAATAATATATTTTTATGAATAATTTTTTTTTTTTAGGTGAAGTTGTAACAGAAAAGCTTGCGAATACTTCTAAAAAAGTGAGTTAAACATTAAGTGATTTATTATAACATCAAACTAGTGTACTTTGTTTTAATATTTGCTTCATAAAATCATTTCTATGTCTGACTGTCATTTTAAAGTTCTATAGGTATGAAATCTGATTACATCATATTTTTTTTTCAATATATTACAAATAGATCTCTTTTTTTTTAAATTAAATATATTTTTCATAAAAATTCATTACACTAAATATTAAAAACAAGAAATAACTAAAATTAATTTAATGGTAATATAATATTACCCATGTGCATTATAGTTCTTCAATATTTTATAAAGTTATATATTATAATATTTATTGATAATGAAATATTTATATTATATTAATTTTAATGAATAATATTTAAAAAAAATTTATAGTTTAAAAATAATCAAAAAACATTTAATTTTAAACTTGTTTCTTTAGAAGTTGTAAAACAATATATTTGTGTATTTGACCTTTCTATTTATTTTAAATAATAAATAAATCTTATGGTGTTGAGGCAGGCTTTTGAAAGGGAGATGATATGTTAATGCAAGAGCGCTGTAGTATAAACAAGTGTGTGCTAAAATAAATAATGATCAGTTTGCATAATAACACTTAAAACCATTATAAAATAATATGAACTATTGGTTATTGGGATGGGGAAAAGAAACTTTTAAATACTCAATTTCATATATGCACACATACTCGTATAAAGTCATATATAAAATTTATATGTGTTAAAATATTTATTATATTTATACTTTGACATGACTATAGTAGGTATTAAAAGTGGAAGAAAAGTTTACCTAATAGTATTGACTGAAATTTTTATTATTTATTCCTTTATTCTAGATTTTGTAGAAAATTTCTAATGTCAAGTTTATTTACTATGGTGATTTCTAAACTAAAGAAAATACAAGTTTACAAATTTCAATTAGTTTCTTCAGTATTAATTTTTCTTTCACAAATATTAAAAAATGCATGAAAAATTAAACTGCTTTTAACTGCTTTAATTTTCTTATTTAATTTAATGCAAATTAAAATTAACATGTGAATATTTTTATAGGAAAACTCGCAATCAACATCATTAAATAAAGTACGAGTAGATAATATGACAACCTTGGGATCTTTTAATCAAATCAATAAATCTGATTTATCAGCTTCGAAGAAACTGATAACAAAGAGTCCTGTTGCAACAGTTAAAAATGGATCGAAATCAAATTTAAGTGTTGTTAATTTATTAAGTGATAGCGAAAACGATGATGATAAAAACACCAGTCTTAAAAGTCCGTTTGGAGAAAAGAAGGATACAAGTAGTAGAGTTGAACCTAGGGCAACAAGAAGTCAAACTAGAGCTGAAGGGGGTTTCAAACAGTTCAATGATACTAAACTGCCTGATGGTAAAAAAGAACGTGAAAGTTTGCGACAACAAAGTGGAGGATCTCAAACTAATGAAACACATTCAATTAATGATGATGTAACTGATATTGACCAAATTGAAGTTGAACCATTATCATCCGTTCAAGATGAAATACAAACTCAAACTCCCTCTAAAATGACACGATCTTCTTCGCAAAAACTTCGTTTATTAAATCCGGGAGATAATTTATTAACAAATAATAAAGTTAATAACAAAGAAATTAACAATAAAATGGTGGAAGATATATCAGCTAATTTTATTTTGAATAATTCCTCTTCAAAAACTTTAGCTACACAGTATCAATGCTTGTTGGGCGAGCCTAAGGGTAACAGTTCTAATGTTTCAGAAAGCCTGCTTCCTGTTGATAGAACTGCAGTTAAAGATGCTATTTTGATTCGCAAAGATAGCCAATCTTTGCAAAATACATCGAATACATCTTCTGATGAAAAACTATTAAAACAAAAAGAAGTATTTGAACTAAAATCATCAAATATTAAAAGTATTGATGACATCAATAATTCACAAATGTTGTCAACTAACAACCAGCCTATGTTAGTAGTTAACAAAATCAAGAAACCATTTAATATTAAACCTACTTCAGAGCAGAAAGTTGATGATATTCAAGTCATCAAAACAAATGTGAAAAAGTCCATGAGATACAATAATAGTTCCCAAAATGTGGTTAAATTATCTGAAAATAAATATACAGTTACTGCTACTGCTGCTGCTGCTGCTGCTGATGATGATGATGATATTGTTATTGTTGAAGATGAGATCAACATTAATGACAATAATAAAACAACAATGAAAACTAAGGGGTTATCAAGTAGTACTGAATCACAAAACTCATCTTCAATAGTTATTAGTCCTAACATTTCAAGTGATTACAAATCAAACTTGCCTCAATTAAATGAAAAAAAAATTAAAAATGACAAAACTTCATGGAATGTGTTTGGAAAACCCCAAAATATTTTGGATTCTACTAAAAAGTGTCAAGATAGTAGTGTATCTAAAAGTAAAATTAATAGTAACATTAGTGAGACTAACAACCGATTTATTAAAGAACTAGATTTTGATTTTGATCAATCGATTTCTCAAACATCTTTGGCTGAATTATATAATGGTGTTGAAGAAATTGTTGAAATGCATTCTTTTGATAATGAAGAATTGAGTTCTTTAATTGAATGTGGTCCGTTAAATAGTAATGAAACTGAGGAATGTAGAAATATAGTTAGTGTTGACCAAGGTGATTCCTCTGTGAGTGAAAGTGATTCAACTATTGGAGCTTTTGATACTTTTGCTCAGATCACAAGAGTACAACAAAAGTCATCTACTTCTAAATATATTAATTTAGATACCAGAGAATCAAAAAAAACAAACCAGGAAATAAAACATTTAAAAGAAAATGTTTGTCAATCTGTTAAAATAGATGATAATCAGAGCACTGCAGTATCAGTCACTGGAATACCTATCTTACAGGGTGTAATATCAGATGTTATGAATCAAATTGATTTAGATGGTGTTCCATCGCTTACAACATTAAACTCAAATAATTCTTCTTCTAATGATGTTGTTGAAATAATAAGCAGTGATGAAGAAGTGACTGTGGAGAATATAAAAGCGGGTCCTTCAAATATGCAAAATAAACAAATCCAAACCCTTGATAAAGAAAAAGAAGGAAAATCCTATAAAATAAAGGAAGCTGAATCGATAAAAGTAGTACCCGAAGTAGAATCCAAATTGTGTAAAAATAATAACTCTAATAGCGGAATTAGTGCTATTAAATCTATCAATGTTGAAATGCCACCATGTATAGTTGTTAAAAATCAAATATCTGCTGCCGATAGAATGACATTTAACAAAATACTAGAAATAAAAAAAGAATCAGCTGTAGGATATAATCAGGATAATGAAATGATATATACTTCAAATCCTGATGAAATAATAGACTTAAATGAATTTAATTATGATGAAGACGTGGAACCAACAGGAATAGCAGTTAACATTTTTAATGAAAATTTGTTAAAAGAAACAGAAATGAAGAAAGAAGCTGAAGAAAGAAAAAAGAAGGAAGAAGAAAGACTAAAACAAGAATACGATGAAAGAAAGAAAAAAGAAAATGATGATAGAATGAAGAAAGAAAATGAGGAAAGGATGAAAAAAGAAGAAATGAAGAAAAGAGAATTTGAAAAGAGAATTTTAAATGAGAGAAAGAAAAAGGAAGATGAAGAAAGAAAGATCAAAGAAGATGAAGAAAGGAAGAAAAAAGAAGAAAATGAAAGAAAGATGAGAGATTTACAAGAAACAATGAAAAAAGAAGCAGAAAGAAAACTCGCAGAAAAATATGAAGCAGAAAGGCAAAGAAAAATTATTGATGATAGGATTAGTGCATATGATTTAAGGTTAAGAAATGTATTGAAACAACAAATGATGGGAATGGAAAAAAGAGTTGTAGTTAAAGAAGAAATCATTGATGAATGTGTTGAATGTGTTGATGACATTATGGAAGAAATAATATATGAAGAGGATACTTCTGATGAAGATGATGGTTATGTCGAAGATCCATATTCAGAAGAAATTCATTCAAAAGTAAAGAAAGCAAGAAGTTTAAAAACTATTTTAAAGCGTCATAAAGATGTGGTTCAATTGAGGGGTAATGAATTACAATTGAAAGAAAGATGCCAAAAAAATCTAGATCAAATAAGAGAATGTCTAAGAGTTCAAGACTTGGTTAATAAAAGAGAAAATGTAAAAGCATCTACATCAGAAAATCTAGTACAGAAAGAATATATGAAGTTTGATGTATTAGTGACTGACAATCCAAATATTCTAAAATTTAAAACCGTTGACATACCACAACATAAAGCCGATGAATTACAAACACTTAAAAGCATTGAAATAAAAAGACTTACAGAAGCTGAAATACAAAAATATACATCTTCTGAGAAATACAAAGCTCATGTAATTAAATCTAAAAAAGCTAAAGAAGTGGAATTAAGAAGAGTTAAAGAAGCTGAATTAGAAAGAGCTAATAATGAACGGGTAAGAATGAACAACGAACTTGAAGCAAAAAAATTTAAAGAAGCCGAGTTAAGAAAAAATATAACTGTTAAAGAAAATGAAATGAAGGGATTGGAAAAGAGAAGTGTTTTGAAGAAAGTGAATGAACCAGTAAATAATCGATCTGTTGCACATACAGAGATCAATTTAGTGAAGAATCATGGAGTTGTTCCTCCTGTACAATTTAAGAAAAAAAATGAACAAGAACAAAAAAATCGTACAAATACAGAACAAGCATTAATTGAAACTAGAAAAGCAGCAACAAAGGAAGATTTTGAAACATTTAATCCAAGAGAACGAGGAGTAAAAAAGTGTGTAGGATTTGATGGGAAAAACTCTAAAACCATAGAATCTAAGTTACCTGAAGTTAAAATGGTAACTAGGACAAGGGGGTTAAGAGTTGAAGAAAAATTAAAAGAATCTAATGTTTCTAAAAATGTGTCAACTAAACTACGACCACAAATAAAATCTTCTGGATCAACATCTATTGCAAGTTCAACTACTGTTGAAAATCTATCAATAGCTAGTAATGATAATAAAAAACAAACTAAGAATACTGATGATGGAAATAAAGTTTGTACCACTGTACACGTACCACGTGGTAATGATAAGAACTTTAAGGATTTAAATATTGAGCCTAATGTCCTTATTAGACAAGACAATTTGAATCGTGAAGTTATTGATACACCAAGAACTCGTACTCGTTCTTCATCATTTAAGAAAAAAACAATTTCAGAAAATAAGATTTCTAAGCAAAGTCCAAATGTTAGTGCACACATTCAAAAGGAAACTATTGGAATGAAGAAGGTTTATAATTTACACCCTGAAGGTGATGCAGCAAAACAAATTATTCAAAATATTACTAGTAAAAGATTGTATATCCCTGTAGTAATGTTAGATACAAAAGATATTCCACTTCATAAAGTTAATCAGCGATCAATTAACTTGATGAAACAACGAGAAAATGCTTTGTAAGTAAAATACACTTTACTGTAATAATACAAAAATTATTGTTAATAATTTTATACTGCAATTATTTTTTTATTTTTAGAAAACAGAATCAAGTACAAAAACCAATTGGAACTAAAATACAGTTAGAAAAAACATCTCCTAAGAAACGAGGTCGTAAACGTAAAATTGATGTACAAAATGAAAAACTTCAAAAGTCTAAGTATGATAAACGTATTAATAAATATACCTTATGACATGTAGTATAATGTATGACTTGTTTCTATACTAAAATCAATAATTGATTAAAAAATTGTTTGAATTATAATCATACTCATAATTCTTTTTTTGATGTATTTATTGATTAACTAAGTCATAAATGTATTTTTTTACAATTATGAAAATATTAATTTTAAACAGATTTTTAATTTATTAACTCTTATTTACTGATCATTCTTCTATGTAGTTGAATTTTTCTGCTTCTATATTTTTTGGGTAATATTCTCATGAAAAGTGAATGCTTATTAAATTAATTTACTATTTCAAAAACCATTTTAAACTTCAAATAAAAAGTTCATGTTGACATGTTATTACAATAAGTGTTATGTCATAGTTTTTTTATTTATGTTTTCAAAAATTGTTATATACATTACAACTTTTATAAATATTAATTTTATATTTATATATTATTAACTGTAATTGTCTTTCAATATTTAAATGTCTTGTTGACAATTGTAAGTTCTAAAAATTGAAAATAATCAATTGCAGCTACATGTTTCCTTCCTTTGGTAATAGGTATTATAAATTATTTTTATTTTAAATTTGCATTATGTTTATTTCAGAAGTAATGAAGTAACTTCTAAAAATTGCCGAAAAACGAGAATATCAATAAAAGTATGTTAATCTATTAAAATTTTAAAATTAAAATATTTTGTTAATTTTTTAATTGGTTTTTATAGGAGGTAGAACCTCTAGCTAGAAGAACCAGAAGGAGTCTTGGGCTACGCAATATTAAAAATGAGTCTATGAATAAGTAAGATATAATTTTATATTGATTTGATACTATATTTTTAGAGCTTAAAGTTGTTTTATGTTTCTACGTTATAAATATTTGTATTTATTTTAATATTATTTGTTTATTTAGGCAGTCTGTTCAGTCATGTAAATTTAAAAAGGAGCTTTTGGACAAGTGAGATGAAATTTTATATTGGTTTTTAATTAAACTTTTTTTATTACTCATTAAGAAGATGTTGTTCCTACATGTATGGTCTCTGTTTTTCATACATATAACAATAATTTACATACCGGATTCTCACTATTTAATATTTTTGTTTTATCATGATGTACCTATTATAAAATTTAAATTTGATATTTTTAAATAAATTTACTACAATTTTATTTAAATTTTAAACATGCAAATTTCAAATATTGTTATTTGTTTGATAAAAATTCTTAGTAGATAGTAATAAGTTAGTTATTAGTTATTACTGACACAATATATCGATAAAGCATATACTTAAATTTTGAGAACGCTAACCCATTAGTATATTTAGTATAAAGATGATCTATCCTTTCCAATTACCCTATTTGTGTGTTCCATTTTTAATACAAATTTTTAAGTAGATTACTTTTAAGAACTATGTCATACTCTGTCAATTACAAAATAACAAAGTATACTGTATGTTTATATAATATTCATAGATTCTTGAAGAAGGTTATTATAGTTAAAAAGTTGTCTGTTATCGGTGGCCTTTATTTTAATGCTTTTTCAATCCATCAAGGGTTCTAAAAAATATCTCTACAAAATTTGGCGCTAATTAAGCAAGTACTGTGGAATTAATATCCGTAATTTTTAGACATATATTACTGGACTTATTATATCTATATTAGTCAACTTCTTATAATTTAATTATCTATTATTTCCGTTTTGCTTCAGTTGAAATATTCTCAATCATGATAGATATTTTATTGTTATGGTGGTAATCAATGATAAAAAAAATTACCAATGGCATACTGTATATATGTAAATAAATATTTGATGTTAGTTGAAATAAAACTAATGTGTGTTGGTCCTCTTGTATTGTATGTTAAAAAAACTGAGTCGAGTCACAAGTAGTTTTTGAATATTAAAAGAACAAAAATAAAAATAAAATTTTATTTTTATTTATTAAGATAATATTTTAACTGTGTTAAAGTTCTATAATTTATTTTGTAATAATTTTATATTATATTAGTATATTATACAAATATGTTCAATTGTTAAATATATATTTTTTTTTTTAGGTCTATTGAAAATATTAAAACAAACAAGAAGGTTTTGAAATGTGTTTATAAAAACTTATGTGAAAAAAATAAATACATTTTAAGTCTTGGGAAGAAAATTAAGGATTTACCTTCAAAATGTTTAAACGTTGTTAAATTGTAAGCATATTTATAATAAAAGTTAAAAATTATAAGATGTGGATATAATTAATTTTAATGAATATTTATTAGTTTAAACATTATGAATTATGATTTATATTTATGTTGTCATATCAATTTTATTATACTGGAATTTCTCTACTATTTGAGTTTACACTGTATTATATTTTTATAGTATTTAAAATTCTAATTGATTGCAATTTAAAAGTAAAATGTCTTGATATGAAATATAGATGAAAATAAAAATTGAACCTGATTGAAGTTATACATTTTTTATAACACTGTTTTTGTATTAACTTATTTTAATAATTATTTTACTAATTTTAAGTTTACTCAGTGTGTGATTAATATAATGCATATAAAAATAAAATATAAATACTTACTACTGTGTATGTCTTACATGTATTTATCATTAAACTTTCATGGTTTTTTATTAATTTTAAAATTGTTTATTTTACAGTCCAATTGATTTAGAAGAAATTAAAAAGAAGATAACTGCAGGAGAAATAACAAGAATTGGCGAACTTCAATTAAATCTTTTATTCTTGTCATTTAATGCTATAATGATAAAAAAATCTGACAGTGTAATTTTCAATGATGCTTCCAATTTTCAATACGATCTTGAAGAATATTGCCGGGTATATTATTTTATCTTAAATATTGCATTTAACTTTTTATATTTATATTGTTTTTTTGTTTGTTTTTAGTCTCTTAAAAATGCAGTTCAAAATAAATGTCCAGATAAAGTTAACCCGTTGTACATAAATGACAATGATTGTTTTAACACAAGATATCCTGGTTCAAAAAATAATTCCAATGATGCGCATATAACTGTTAACAAAAAAACAATTGCTAATATATTTAAATATATTGATAATTCTAGTGATGAGTCAAGTGGTTCTGAATCTGATAGTTATATGCCACCAAAAAAAAAAAAAAAAAAAATACTTCTGACTCTTCCAGTTCAGAAAGTGATTGAATTCCCTATATTCTTAAGATTATTTTAATAAGTTATAATATATTCCCTCATATATATATAAATATATTGTTCTATTTATAACTTTAATTCATATTCTTTGTTTTAGTTAATAATAATTATTTTTAAAGCTTTTTTTTTATAAATTATATAGTATATCTAGTTTTATTTTTATTTGGTCAAGCCTAAATTATTTTGCACATGAACCTAAAATTTAATCTGTTTGTTTTAAACATATTTTAAACACATAATGCTTAGACTAATTTTCAAACTTTGAAAAATATTTTAAAGAATTTCAGTAGAAAAATAATAATAATTAAAATTAATCATTGTTCATAAAAAAAAGAAGAAAAACAATAATTACTTGTTAAATGCTTGCTGTGTATAAATCTATTACAAATTCTATTAATATTTTAAAATTTTTAAAATTTTAATAAATAGTACCCATGCAGCTTAAAAAATATATATTTTTAATTTTATATCATGAATGTAATTAACTTATTAATTATTCGTTTTATTTATCAAACTACATGCTACTTATTGAAAATAAAAATTAGATAACACTAATAATATTTTAAATTTACTCTGTGTTAATTACTTAATTATATTTAAAATCTTTAAAAAAATTAGCACCTATATTAGAATTTAGATCCGCTGTAATGTAAATAATTTTATACTAAAGTTAAAAATTAATTTAAATAAAAATTTTTTTTTTAATTTATTTTTTAGGTTTATGTTATTCAACTATTTTTTATTTTACTGCAATAAATTGAACGTTTTGATTTCGATGATTATGTTATATCCCCTTAACAATTAGATTTGTGTAATAATAATTAATTGAAGAATCCAGTAATCGTTTTATTTTTTTGTGGACAATTTTTTATTTTTACGACTTGTTACAAGTTTATTTTGAAATTGCTACACATCAATATTGATTTTTGTTAGGGATATTTCTCTTGTATTCTTGTATTTAATTATAATTTGAATGTAAAATATTGTAGACATATTGTGATTGATATTTATTTAAGAGAAATATTTTATAGGAATACACGGTATTAGTGTGTAAGGTAGTTGTAACTCCATTAATTGAAAATTCATAACCCAATGATAATTCAAAAGAATTATATTCTTAAATGATACTGTAAATTGTCAAACGCCAATGGCTTGTATTGCTATGTAACAATCTAATTGTATTTTTATTTTTATTTTTTTTATTTAATAGTTAGGTTGTCTATACCAATAATTTAAAAATATTGTTTTGTATTAATATTTTTATAATATAATAAAATATTTATAGCAGCTATATAATTTTTTATTTTTATTTATCCTTAGATTGGTGAATGTACTAAGTTTAAAAGTATAATTTTGTTTTCCATTTACATTTCAATTTCTCTTTTATACAAAAATATTGTTTTAAATAATGAGTATTAATACTTCAAATCAATATAGTGTATTATAAATTTACATGTATGGATATTAAATTCATACAAAACTTTGATTTGCCTAAATAAAAATAATATTACATGAAGTATAATTGTTGTTGGAATTATATTATAATAATAGAAGACAAATTATTAAGTAAGAATATAATTAATTTAAAAAAATGTGTTAATATTAATTTTTGTATTTTTTCTTAAAACTTCATATCTTAAAAATTATGAACTAGACATATTTTATGTACTATTTACATTGTTATCCATTAAAATAGTTACAAAAATATATGAGCAGTATTTATTTGTGATAGAAGTACATTTAATAAATAAGAAATGTATTTTTTTTCAATTTATTGCATATTAGACCAAATTTATTTTGCTACTGTTAAGTTTTTCCATTATAACTGAATTTTTAGACAAACCCTATTTGAAATAGTTTTTTTCATATTATTTACAACTGAAAGTTTATTAACTAATATTTAGAAGTGAATTATATTTTTAGTGAAAAATAGTTCATATTTAATTATAATTTTTAAAGTAGATAATTATTATTATCGTGTTAAAAAAAAAATAAAATAAGTAAACAATGACTTAAATTGATACTATGTAATAATGTGTAAATTACTATACTTTTGAGGGTTTAATTATTATTTATATTAGGGACGGCCAAACGTTTTTGTTTGCGATCTACTAAAAAATTACTTAATACAAGTTCACCTTTGAGGATCAACTTGGATAAAAAAGTTTTTTTTATTTTTAAGTTAATACCATTATAATTAATTTTCATGTGCGTAGCCTAATAATAAATTCTAACAATCGACTATTTGACCGTCCCTGATTTATATTATTTAATACTCTCTCATAGTCAAAAAGTTTTAATTCTAAATAGATGGTTATCGGTGTTAGGTATAAACATTTTAATATATTGGATAAGTTGATGATATCCAAAATAATATTGCTTAAGGAACTCATGATTCAGGGTTCGGTAATTAAATTCTATGGCGGTGCAGAAAATTTTCGAGAGCCAGTAAAAACTACTATTTATTAGTTAATAATAATTGTTGAGTGATCGTAATTATTATTGTAAACAGCAATAAACGTTAAACACTATCACAATTTTTAAATATATTATAAAATAAGTAAAAATATATAAAATTTGTGCTAAAAACCAGCATTAAAAATATATTTTTTTGCGGTCCAGTTATTTTCTCTTCACAGGCTAGATTTGGTCCGCGGACCCGCCTATTTCCGTCCGTTGTTATAAATATTTTATACTTTTCGGCAGTAAGCAATTTTGTTAAGGTCGTAATCAGAGGGATTTCGGCGTTAGAGCTCCTTTGAACATTAAGCATATTTTATGTAATTTTTAGTAAAGGAATAAGAGGCATATAAGGAGAAACAAATGTCACAAATTGTCTATACTTTTTTTTATAGTTTTTATCTTTTGAACTGTATAACTGTGACTCCGCGATAATAATTTTATCAATCATAAAATTTTATTTAAATAATTTAAATAATTGGTTTACATTACCTGTACCTTAATTTTAGTATCTGTATTTAAAATAATATGTTAATAAAATTGCAAGTTTGAATTAATGGAAACATTTTTCTGTGTAATTTCTCGACTTGTACAGTTCTGGGATAGGACTGTTTCTTTCATCTCTCTTTTAGACTGCAATGTTAAATCGGTGCTGTTTCTAGCTTATTAAAAACGATAAAACTGTTTATATTAATTACAAAAGTATAATTACTCAAAATAACATTAGCTATTAGGTATAGATCATAAATTCACATCTATAAGAAGCTCACAAGTTCCACGAGAGTATTCATCGTTCATATTATATATTATATTAAATATTTGCATAACAATTTTGTTAAATATTATTATTTTTGAAATACTTTATTTATTGAGATTAGAATAATTAGTAAATAATATTTAAAATCCATTTAGGTGCCATCTTTCTTCAAAATATTTAAAATTTACTTGTATTCTCTTTTCAAATTATACTTATCTACCTAAATAATTTTATTTATTTTAGTCATAAAAAATATGTGTTCATAGACGTATAAAAATATATTGCAATTATGTACGATTAAAAAAATGTGGAAATTAATAATTAAAATAAAAGTGAAACACAATTTGATACCTATAGCCATATATCAATATGACAATGAATCAGAAGATATAAATAGATAAATATACGTTGTAAGCTGAGGAGTATCAGGAAAATACTAGATATTTATATCTACAGCTCCAGTTGTCTGAATTGTAGATACCTACTAAATATAAGACAAAGGACATATAGACTATAGCCAAACTTGCACAGTCTTTATTTACCAAGTATTGAAATAATTATTTTTAACAAAAAAATGTTCGTGTTTAAGAATGTTGAAGTTTCCCCAATTTAACCAAATAAGTATTTAAAATATGTTTTTCTTGGCAAGAAAATTGGCTAAAATTAAAAAAAAAAAATTATTCCGTTTATTTATTTTACATTTATACATCATAAGTAATGAGTAAAATTAATGACATAATTGTCATTTTTGAATAGGTATTTTATTATAATATAATATTATTAAATATTAACTATAAGTTACCTCTTATCTATCTAAAAGACTAAAAATATAAGTGAAACAGTGTTTACTAAACCATTGAGGAATTGTATTATTTTACGGTTTGGCGATTCGGCAAATCGCCGCTCGATCGACATAGTAACTTCATAATATCATTAATAACATTATATAATTAAATAGATGCATTTAAATACCTTCACCTTTTCTCTTATTTCCCGAATGATTTTTCATCAGGTGATTACATAATGATGTGTTTTGTCTTTGAAAAATAAAATTTTTTTGGTAGGTTGGAAGTAATTTGTGTAATTGCAAAATATTGCAATTTTTACTATTTTTAAAACTTGAATTCATAATATTATGTTATGTTGTATAGTAAAGCGAAAAAGCTGGATAAGCTGAATATTATATTAATAATGATCAAATAAAAAATAATGGGCTTTACGAATAGAAAAAAATTGAATATTATAGTCTTATATACGTAATATAGTACCTAGGCATACCCCCCAAGTGTTATAATTTAAAATTAATCTATCAATATTTTCGAAATGGTATTTATTGATTTATTATGTGCGTAGGTACCAATATTAATCATAATAATAGACATAGGTAAGCGATAAGATTTAAAAATTCATAAACAATATTCTAGGGCCGGTCCAAAACAGGTGTTATCCATTTTAAAAGCTATAGTTCATGGACAGAAAAACGTACATAGTATAAATTATAATATACGTTCATAATACGAAATATCACCTAGTGGCAACTGTATAATAGATAGGTACTTACAATAAAATCAAAATTCAAAATAAGCGTGCGGTAAGTACGTATAACAATCGGAGGTGTAAATTTTACTTAATGTTCAGTGATGGTACAAAGGATAACGTTAACATAATTTTTTTCTCTCAATACAAACAATAGGTACACCTAAAAAAATAATACTCATAGATTGAGATAAAAATCATGTGGTTGTTACTCGAAAACTAATTAACTTTCATAGTGCATTATAGTCTTATTCTGTTGTCAGCTATATACGTATGACGGATGTATTTACAAAAATCGGTACCTAAATCTTTTCTTTAAATTTAATAGGTAGTCTGTAATTATCATCGCGCGTGTCAAATGCTCGTTCGAGTTAGATCCTTATTGGTTAATCGCTTTTTTGAAAAGTCGTAGGATTTTTAATCACGAATCGCTTTTAAAACATCACCGGTATTCGACGTACAACAAAGCATGTAAATTATAATATCGTATTTTTCGTGTTACAAACATTGCTCCGATATCATACCCTGCCGAGTTCACGAGTGGGACATATTTTAAATTATTTTACACTAGCGGTTCTCAACTTTTTTTTCGTTCCGTGCCCCTAAGTTTAATATTTTGCTAGATTGTATTTGTACCCCTCATTATAATTTTTAAACTTTTTCACATAACTACTTTTAAAATATTTAAATAAAAAATAACAAAAAATTCTATGTTATATTCTATACTCCTTATCTATTAGATAAGTTGACGGTTAAGTTTTAATTTGTGACACAAATTTTCATTTTTAAAAACATATCATGAATATTTTCGAAATGAATTGTTTTAAATAAACATATTATTCAACATTTTCCGCCATTAGCCAATTTTTTTTCACGTACCCCACCTAACCCCTTGGGGTACGCATACCCTAGATTGAGAACCGTTGTTTTACACCACCAAGCAAAGCACACGGGTTTCGTATTATGATAATATTATTATATTCCAAAGGGGCTGCCGAGCGCGTGGCGCACTCGCACAGGTCAATAGTTTACGCCACTGCAGAACACTCTCGCAACGACGAAATCTGCAGCGACGGTCCCATAGGCGAGCGCAGACTTCAAATTCCGGTCGAGCCTGGAACAATTAATGCCTCAATACTTGAACAGTGTTTTTAATTTAAATTTTTTGCATTAATGTACATTCTAATTGTATATTAAAAACTGTGTAAATATAGAATCGAGTCGTATGTGCATTGCACAACATTAATGTGCTGATTTCTAGACATATATTTTTGAAGTTAAGAATAAAATGTTATAAATACAATTATGCATTATAAGAACAGAACACAATACCCAAATTAAAAAAAAAAAAAAACTTGGTTTAATGAACAAAAAATTGTATATACCTACACAAACAGATAAACTTAATTATGTAATAATTTTAATTAAAGAATTATAAATGAATTATCCTTTTTCGCATACTTTTGAATTCGTCAATGACCATGTCAATATTAATACTAGATGTTAGTTTTGGTTCAGTAAACATAAATAATTTTTTGATGTATAGTACCTACTCCTAATTTATTTTTTAATATTGTTGATTTAGAAAATATCCGTTTGCAGGAAAAACTCGTATAATAACTTGTATTAAACCGAATAATTTCAGTACCTGCAGTGAAAAATGCGTTAAATGATTTTATGTGATTATTTGCTTTCGTACAATCTAACCACAAATGTATATTGATTCGTTATTAGCATAAGTACCCGGTTGAAATTGTATTATGCTCATGAAAAGATTACTACCCCCCCCCCCCCCGTGCGCACACGTATGGACGGTCCGTTCGAACGCGATAGAACCCAACTCGGTCGGCTGTAAACTGTGCAGCGTAATGTGCAGCATACATAACCGCCGCAAAACTCGCGCTGACAATAATTACGGCTGCAGTTCAATGCATCTAAAAAGATTTTTCGCAGCATTTCTCTCGACGCGCACTGCAGCTTTACTTACCGGAACTCTGCAGCGAAGACCGCGTGATCGCAGTAAAAATTTTCGTCGTCGCCGTCGCGATTGCAGATTTCGTTGTTTAATCTTTTCTCTGCCCGCCGCGTAGTGTTTCCACTCGTGTGCTTTTCGCAACGGTCGCCTTTCGCCGCTTTCCGCTACAATGGTATAATATACATAATATAGCGTTTACTTCCTTACATTATAAATGGGTACACGTGTATAATTATGTAGGCAAGCATGACGTTTCACGCCGTCGGAATAGCGAGCGCGTGTTACGACCATTTCACGGCACGGTCGGTGTGCAGGTACACTCGCAGCACCAGCCCTACGAAGTGGCGTTTGTGCACCTGTTCACGATCGGACGTATTATTTAATTACCCGACCGGGCTACACGTGGACAGCGGAGAGGGACGGACGTCCGAGGATTTCTCGTCGTCACAGTGAGTAGGTACACTATATGGTGTAGTAGGTCCCTTCTCTTCGCCTATAGTCCCGTAACGTTTTGATATACACACATCATATATTAATATTATTAATTACGTGTTGTTATATATTATAGAAGCGTGCCTACTGTATTGTAACGTGATAATACTATGTTTACGCTAGTAGCCTATACGTACAGAATACTATACATGTTTTACATTGCTTTGCGTGCGTTATATCCGTTTACGTCACGGCGCGTTTATGGTATAAATAATACGCCGAGCTTGTGGAGTACCGTCATCAGTGCACCGACAGAAACGCCGAGTGCAACACTTGTCTTTTGCGTATATACCTAAACCCACCGTCGTATACCTGAACAACCGCGCGTATACAAGAAGTGTGCGCGATACAGTTAATATAATATACGTATTATTGGCGTTGCGGCGAGAAACAATATATACTTGTACATCAGTACGAGACAAGACGACACTGCCAGACAATAATATGACCGCTAAGGTGAGTGTGCGATTTGCGTTGATATTACAATACATAGTGCGTGTGACGTCGATATGACGGTCGTGTGTTCGTTTCAAATTTTTCACAATGATTATAATTTCGCGGTTTTTATCGCATTCATTGACGCGATTGCTCCCTGAACGGGTTTTCGCCAACACTAATACAATATCTCGGCACTTTTTCACTGGTGTTTCGAACACCGGTGTTTCAAATCGCGTTTACACGTGTCCGAACTGCTTATTCCGGTGCTCGTACAAGTCTTCCTTGACTCCGCGTCGAACAAACATTTCTTCCTGTCTCATGTATAGTACCCACTTGTTTACTTACTTCAAGTTTGCGTGTTTTCCATCGAGGCTTTCGGTCCGTCATAGCACTCCTGGAGTTACGCGTATTCTACTAAAAAATACCAAATCGACATAATACAATACAAAATTTTTTTATATTTTGGATCAAAATATATGATGATATTGAATCTGTTAAGAAACAAAAAATATTTCACTGTCTAGGTACCTACCTATCAAATCTAATTTTCAGAGACTTTTCTTATTTATATCGATAATGTTTGAAATTAATAGATATTGATGTAAATATTGTTATATCATAATATTTTCCGATCGTTCGTGTTAATATCTGTTAATTTTAATATTATTCAAATTTAAGTCGATTATTAAAGTTACACTTTTCACATCACGGTGTTTCGAATTAGAACCGATTTATTGTTTTCTTCATCATAATTAGGGCGGAGATTTTGATGCAAAGGCAATTTTTTTTCTGGTGTTTCGAAACGTTGGTTCGTAAGTATAAAATGTATTTTGGGTGACACTGATTATTTTAAAGTAATTTTTATTGCATATTTTTGCATTTTTTTGACTAAATCAATCATAAATGCATTTTTAGGGAATTTTCTTAGTTTTTATAGCATTGATCACAGTTTGTTCATAAAATGAACGAAAATTGTTGTTATTAACAGGAGACTTTTGACAAATGACGGTACGAATAATAAATTATACAGCACGACAAGTTATCGTCGATAACAAATATTTTATCATAGCTAGGTCTTTCTGCTAATTATTAAGAAAAAAACAGAAAAACATTCAATTAAACAAGTAACAACGTACCTACTACTAATAATAAAAAAAAAATATACTTCTCTTGTATATTTTTAAATTTTTGAGCTATAATGAATAAGTCGTTTAAACGCATTTTTATAGTGTATTTTTAAGCCATTTTTGCATTTTTTTTAAGCCCTAGTCATAATATAATTATATATAAACACATAGCGAGACCCATCGAAAACATTTCGCGCGACCCATTCCATCGGGCGACGATCCCACGAGTACCTACACTGCTCTACGTTTTCTGCATGCGGTGCTCATATTATAATATCACGTTTTTCAGCTGTCTCATTGCCGCCGCGTGATCGCGGCGTTCGTCGTGGCCGCGTGCGTCGTAGCCACGGCGTTTCCGGTGCACCATCATGACGAGTTCCGGTCGCAGCAAGACGAGTACCTCCCGAAGAACGAGCACGACGACGCTGCAGCCGGCGATGACGCGCACGGACCTGCAGGTTCGACGTATCACTTCCAGTACGCGGTCCACGATCCGCTGACCGGCGACGAGAAGAGCCAGAACGAGGTGGGCGACGGGCACGGGTCGGTCAAAGGCACGTACAGCCTGGTCGAGGCGGACGGTTCCACCAGGGTGGTCGAGTACACGGCCGACGACGTGCACGGGTTCAGGGCCGAGGTGAAGAGGATCGAACCGCCGGCGGATCGTCAACAGCGCGACCACCGCCCGTCCACCGCCACCGATGTCGGCCGCCCGCCGTACGGGTTCGACTTTGCCGCCGAACACGCCGCCCCCGCCGCCGATGCCCAGCCGGCAGCCGACTACGAACTGCAAAGTTCGCTGCACTACAGCTACGAACCAGAATTGCACTTCCCGTCGTCGCACCGTCGTTGAAGTCTCTCGTTCGAGTCGTCGTTGTCGCCGTTTCACACGTTGTTATTATTATTATTACTATTATTATTATCATCATCGTCATCATCATCGTTTCATACGTCACGCGACTGCGGTGCACGATAAATTAGTATTTGATGAGTTCGAATAATATATAAACGCGTATTATACAACTTCAGCGCTTACGCGGTGTGATTCACCAAATACGTTCAACTCCGCATTTTTAAATTTGATATAGTATGTAAATTTTGATTTTCTAAATTTTTTAATATACCTACTTACCTTATTTCCCATATTTTCAAATTCATAAAATCGTTTGTACCCCTTAAAAAGTTTAATACGTTACATGTACTGACTTGGAAATACATAATGTATATCTCTTTCCCCTTCCACCCATATAATACAATATGTTATTTATATAGGTTGTTTAAATATTAATGTGCCACTGGGTCGCATGACAAATTTATTGATTAAATAATTCGATAGAATTTTTTATTGACCAATTGTGGACCACTAAATCATGTTTTAAAGACCATTACTATTGATTCATTAAATTGGGGGAATATAAAAAAAAAAAAAAAAAAATACAAAGAAAAATTAATGTAATTTTTGATTTTGAATAGCATTGACAAGTTTATTGATCATAGGTTTGATTTTTGATGTAAAAATTCTCAATACATCATTCAAGTGACGATTTGTTGGGTATTGACATTAATCAAAACGTAAGTAACGTGTAAACAAAATATAAGATTAAATTTAATAATAAATATCAGTTATTAAATTTACTATCAACTATAACATAGATAATGTGATATTTCATATTTTTATACCAATTATAAATTGTAATCGCGGGCTGCAGGTTGCCGATCGCTGCATTAAATGATCAGTAATCGTTCATGCAATCTGACATAATATATATCGTCCAATAGATATTTTTATGTGTTTAAATATATTTAATATTTTGTTCAAAAATCTATAGTAGGAATTATTTCCATTTTGCATATAATTTCAGTGCCAAATGCCTATTCAAAATAACTCACTTAGTACAACAATTATTCCCCTTTGTAAATTCTACTAGAAGTTGTGAGTACCACGACTAATTGAGCCAAATTTTGTAAACGTTTTTTGTTATTATTTTTATACTCGCACAGTATTATGTAACAATTTATAAATATTTTGTAATATACCTATGCCTATAATTATATTGTCATTTTAATAATATCGTATTTTTTTTTCATGATTTCTTTCGTGATCTTTTTTAAGGTATCACTATATGCAAGAAATTATGCAAATCATATTTAATTATAATATGCAGTGTGTATAATGTAACGATTCACGGATTATTTATTCGTCATTTACGCCGCATTCGGCGAATTCGTTTAAGTTAATAGATCATAGGAACGTTGAGTACAAGCGTATTTTTAATTGGCATAGCCATCATACAGCAGTCGAGTTGGAATCGCAAAGTAGAGACTATCCAATAGTAACTAGTGTTTTCCCTACCTTACAGATAAATCAATAATAATTAAATTGTTTCTACTCGTACTCCGCTATTTATGTGATCGTCAATATACTACCCTTAAGAACAGGGTTGTTCAGGTGATAGTGTACCGTACAATATTATAACTATTTCAATAATTTAATAAACCTTGTATATATATTGCTATATCGTGTTCGATTGCGTTAGTTTATGAATGCAGGTCATAAGTTTCTAGGAACTGTAAGATAATGTACATGTTTAGTGTGCAGAAAGGAGGATAGCAAAGGCGCTTTGTGAGTGATATTTTGATTAAACAAGAATATTAAGCTCTTTATCAGTTTTGTGTTGTAGTATTAAAAAAATATTCTTTTGTTTCATTTAAGTATTTAACCACTGTTCAATACATTCATAAACAACATGAAAAAAATGACAATTTATTATTCAATAACTTGTCATTTATTCATAAATTGCTTAATGATAATAATATACAGGTTTGTCCAAAAATACTCTAAAATAAATGTTAATTTTTTTTTCCACTATGCTTGGAGTCCACTATGACTATCCATAATATGGATTATAATCGCCAAAGTTATCGTTTTAATGGTAAATCGAAAACTATTTAACTATCTGATAAAAATTTATGATTTTCATTTTAATACTTTATTTTTATGATAAGTATACAAAAAAATAAGACTTTAAAGTAATTAAATATATGTTTTTGTAAAGTTTAAAACCACTATAATCTCTATAATCATTTAGTTACACCTACCTATTCAAAAATGTTAATTTTTTTTATTTTGAATGTATGTTTTGTTAATTGTATTATGCTTTTAAGTCATAACTGCAGTTTATTTAAATTTTGCATACCATTTGATTAAAGCATGAAATGTTATAAACAATAAACCCAATAACCCAGCTTAGATACCATGAATTCTAATATAAATACGAAATAAGTGTATGTGCTACATATAAATAGGCATACGTGTTAAGAATAATAAATATCCCAGAATAATTTAATTTAAAAATATATTTAAAAAATAGCTTTACTTTTCACGAACGAAATGTTATAAAATTAAATATAATATAATGTTATGAAAAAATCATAAATATATTAATAATTAATATGTGTCATATTTTAAAATTAAATTTTGTCAGTTTTAAAAAAAAATATAAAATAATGTTATGACGCTTAAAGTAATTACTTATTCTTAAACGAAACATTAAATCAAAAGTAAAATGATTATATTAAACGGGAATAATTAAAATACCATAGTATTAATTATATTAATATATACGTATTTGCAAAATTATAGACATTAAGGTGGCTATTGTTTGTGGATAAATTATGAACGAGCATAGTGGTCTGAAATTAATAGGCTAATGACCTAGTGGTCGAGGCCTCTTGTTTAGTAAAAAAAAAAAAAAATAATAATGATAATCATATTTAATATGTTAATATGTGCAATTGTGAATTTTAAACTATAGCATGCAATTATTATTATGCATTAGGTATAGACGTCATTATGTAAAATTAGGCTGCAGTTTCCGAGTATTTATCTATCTGTTTATTAGTTATATTTTAAACGTGAATATAGGCACATAGGTATTTAACATCAATTATAAAATTTCAATTAACTAGCTTAAAACATAATGAAAATACAAAGAACAGTTCTAAATAAATAATTGAAAATGTCAATTTTTCTTAGTGAAAAAATATACAAAACTGAATGACTAAATACAATTTTACGTGCCTAGTTATTTATATTAAGTTACACAACAATTTAAACATTCAAAGGTGTTATTACTGATTTCATCCGACATACATAGGTACAATAAATAGGGACATGTAATAATATTAATTAATAAATTATACAAAATAAAAATATATAACTAAATTACAACTATGTGAATGAGTGCTTGTAGACAATTTTAACTATATACAACGCTCAAGCGGACACTGCACACTGATTATTCCTCGAAAAATTCCAAAAGGTTAATACACTAAAATATATACACGAAAATTAGGAGGCGGACGATACATTTTTCTATAGACGGCATTCATCAATAATCGACCCGTTTGTTAATAGTCATCCAAAGCTTCGTTTTCAACTCATACGGGTTGCTACGGGGTGGCTCCATAGAGATTTCGTTTTGGCAATCTGACATCTGTTCGTTTATACACTGCAGAGTTATCGCGTCATAGGTCGGAGAAATATAGTAAAATACTTTTTTATAATCGATAAAATGTTTAAACATACAAGACATAATAATATTATGTACGCTCGTAGTTCATTTACTATGAAAACTATCGTACCGATTTCGAAGAAAATTTCAGATAATACGTTCTCAGACGTATCGGAAATATTTAAAGAGTAGGTCGAATCGCGTTTAAAGATATGCCGAGCGCGCTACAGTCTAGGTCGAATGAATTCGTAAAGCGACGTTTGATAATAATTTTTTTTTTTTCTAATAATTTATAAGCTGACATCTTACTCTACAGATGGATCGAATAATCACGATCGTCGACTAAACGGCGTGAGAAGAGCGTACGACACGCGTGTGGGTTTTTCGTCCGTTTTGCGCGCCTGCAGGAGACTACTATCGACGTTATATTTCGCCGCATATTCCATAGCGCAGAGGTTCCCAAACATTTTACGGCACGACCTATTTCGGAAATCATTTCGAAAATCTCGGCGACCTACGCACAACAGCACGATTGAATCAATGGAGCACGTACGTCTGAAAAAAAAACGTATCGTTTGAAAACACAACGCGCCCCTCTAAAAACGCGATCTCCGCCCGCTTTCGGGTCGCTACCCGCACGTTTGGGAACCTCTGCCGCGGTGGACTTGTCGTTTCTCCTGCCGGAACCCGCCGCGGGGAACCTGCCGTGCGTAGCGGCCATCGTGTGCAGTGTGCGGGGTGCGCCGACCGCTTCCGGTCAGTACATCCAGGTGGACCACGTGTTGTTGAACCGGGCCGGGTTGGCGGCCGGGTCGAACGGCCGGTTGGTCTGCGGCACCAGCAGCCGCCTGTAGTACTTGAGCGCCTCGTACAGCTGTCCGCTGACCGTCACGTGTTTCTTGGCCACGTTGTTGGTCTCGCACGGGTCGGCCACCAGGTCGAACAGGCACGCCTCGCCGGACGGGCACGGCGACCGGGCCCGCGGCCCTTCCGGCGACGGGTTGCACCGGACCGTCGACTCGTACCGCATGGCCAACAGGTCGCGGACGCCGTTCGGCTGTCCGGTGACGAACGGCAGCGCGTTGGCCAGCCGGGCGAGCGCGCGGCCGGCCGGGCTGTACAGCACAGCGGTGACGTTGTACGGGGTCCGTGGCCGGGTGGCTCCGAAGAATCCGTCCAGTGACCCGTTCGCCGTTGAACCTGCGGAACGCACGCGGACGGACGGCATGTGTTACAAGTCACAGCGAATAAGGACGTTTTCGATTTGGGGGGGGGGGGGGGGGGGGGGGGGTACCTATCGACGTGAAACGGGTGGGACGCGATCGCGTGCGTTTCACTTTTTTGGCGACACGATTGCGCGTATATGTTTGTTGACGATTATTGGTTTTACCGTAGTTTTGCCTATTATAAATATCTAGTAAAATAATGTTAATCGATATAAAGTAGTAAAATATACCTGTAATGAGAATAACTAAATAATAGGTAGTAAAATTATAATGATATAAATAAACGAAATCGTCAGTAGATTATCAATAATATTATTGATAACGTTTAATACTTCGTACACGATCGTGTATAGTTAGTTAAAAATCGGGTAAAATCGTACGAAATCGTGACGCTTAAAAAGGTATCGCATAGCTCACTTCCCTCCCATTTCTTATTTTAACTTGCATCGAATGACTCCCCCTTCTCTCTCTGAGATAAAATCTCCATCATTTGTGATGTTACACGTCTTATTCCTGTCTGCTTCAAATTATAATATATGCAACGCGTCTACCTCAAGAAAATGCCAATAAAATATAGGAAAATTTTCTTTAGTTTATAAATAACAGTTTTAAAATATCCTGTGTTGTTATATTATAATAATATAATATAATAATTGCGCCATCATGTGAAGCGAGACAAATCATGTTTGTACCATTGATTGTTATAACGTAATAATTCTACGAAATTATATTGTAAATCCGTTTAAAACGTTTGGACACAGGGCTGGTTTAACTGCTTCTACCATGATAATTTTTGGGCTAAATCACTTATTATAAACACAAAATGTCAAAAAGTAAGAACAGTTTTGAGAGCAGTTATTATCGGCGTTTCGAGGCATTACGTGGCGAATTTCGTGATATTTAATTTTATAAATTCATATGTTTTGTCTTTATGAAAAAAATTGTAAATTTTTGTTAAAATAATATTTCAAAACAACTTACCAACAATTAATTTCCAATTATCTTTAAGAATACCGGCATAACGCTGTTTTTCGTCTATATTAAGTAAAACGAAACTACGAAGCGATGGTAAATTTAATGTGAGAGATGCCCATTGATCGTATCCATCCAGATATTTTGGTAAAAATCCAGAATTTCCCCCTGAAATAAAGTTATCAATATTACTGTGGAATATAATCTGTCAAACAATAATGTATTGGTCTTGAAGCAACATCATTGAATAAATTACAATTTTTTCAATAAAGATGGGCGTTTTATTTAGATAAGTATTTTCGAAACAAAATTAAAAATATTTGATAAATCATATTTTTGTTTTAGAATATAAGTTAGAGGGAGGAAGCTGTTAGTTTAACGATTAACTTCTTTCTTGTCTACAACCGTTAATAATTGTACTAATAAATAATATACAATTATTATGCTTAGTAGAATGTAGATTAATAACGACACTGTCAAATCAAATCTTTGTATTTAAGTATCGAGTTGTTGAATGTATCAATGTGCTATTATGCATCTAAAATACGATGCTGTACGTGAAGACATACCTGCAGCTGAGTATAACGTCGGCAACCAATCGGTGATGTGCATGAGCTGTTTGGAAACGCGAGGATTTTCCTGGAATTGTGGAGCCCAGATAAAAGATGCGCTTTTAACGCCACCTTCCCACAACGTGTTCTTTATCTGCAAAAAAAAATTTTAACCAATTTAAAAATAAAAAATGTTATGTTATTTATTTATAATGTAGTAATTGTATTTATACCAACTGCAAGAGTATATAGTATATTTAATAGACTATAATTATTGATAAGAAGATAATATTTGGCCAAAGTCTCTGTTGATATTCAGTAAAACGAGTATTATATTCTTAAGATTGTGAAGTGGTAGAGTATAATATAGTGTTTAAAAAAATATTTTTATGATTATAAATTCCTCGTTTAATTATGCTCAAAAACTAGGGCTGGGATTTCCACCAACTTTTTAATTGTTATCTAGTGGCAACAGTATTTTTTCTAGTTAAGTTAAACGATTTTTGTATTGGTAAAAACTTTTTTGAATGAATATAATAAATTTAATTTTTGATTTTAAGAGCATTTTTATGATTTTTAGACATTTTGAAAGTAAATTCACGTTTAAAAAAAATTTGAAATTTTTTTCTATTCTGTTTCATGCAAAAACAATGAATTATATAAATATTTTTAAAATTATGATTAAATAAAATAGTATTAATGTTAATCATTGTTCGTTTTAATAGTAACATAAAAAAAATTTCGATTATAAAATAATAGTAATTTGAATAGTGGGCGTAGATTCTTGTCGTGAGCTTTGAATGTAACAAATAAAGATGACGTTAAGAAATCGGTCAGATAAAAAAATAATATATTTAGCTCTAAAACATGAATATGTCAACATTGTATTTTTACATTCTAATGGAGTTGTATAAACATAATATATTCTAACATTAACACGAACGCAAATAATTAAAATTTTTCTAATCTTCCATTTAAAATGCCATAGATGTACTCGTATTAGGTATACAAGTAATAAAAATTAAGATTGGCACAAATCAATAGGTATTTATATGATATATATATATCAAACTAATACGATGGTTAATACTTATATGAATACTGAACACAATATTAACTTGACCAAATTCAGTTTCATTAAAATTAAATCAATAAAATCATTATTTTTCCACATTATCATAACAAATAGTATATTAATTTTAATGTAGGCACGGTTTGTGTATATGAAACTTACACCTCTGTACGGGAAATTAGAGCCCCAGTTGGGTGTAACACCGACGTTGGATCCATAACCCCGACCAGAATTATCGAATGACGGTGATCCGTTGTCTGACATGAACACGATTATAGTGTTCTGCAACATTTTCTTTTCTGATAACGCCTCCACTACTCGACCCACAGATTCGTCTAGTTTGGATACCATTGCTACAACAACACGATATTAAGTATTAGGTTTTTTTTTAATCAGTAAAAATCTTTCTCTTACTTATGTTGTTTTAATCCAACAACGTACAAAATATTATTAAATTATAGTTGTTCAGTGCTACTGTCTACAGTAAACAATACATTAAAATCTAATGATTGACCAAGTGTACACTTTAAACGAGTTATTATATCATTTATATAAAGGTAAAATAATTAATTTTATTATTTATAGCGATCTATTTTATATTGTTATAAAGTAAAGATAAATTAAATAAAATAGTTTATTTTTTATGCAATAGTTAGTTTGTCAATAATTTGGTAGAATTGAAAATAGCTATCGTTAACAAAACAGTTTAAATATTAACTCGACTTTTATTAAGTCATTTTTTTAATTTCATTACATTTTTTTTTTTTTTTGACATTTCAATTTTCAAAAATAGTAACCTTATTTTTTGGTAAACAATAATATAGGTATAGGTATATTAACAAAACTTTGTAGAATGTATTTAATTTATTTGCTAGGAGAAAACAATTCATTATTAATTATTAATTGCGGTCTGTCGTCATACCTGCGTAAGTTCGCCGATTCGGATCCAAAATGTGATTAAACTTGTTGATTTCGGACTGCGGTGCCTCCAAGCTCTTACCTTTGTTACCCGTGTGCACAGCTACGTGCGCTAAATACATGAACAGAGGGCGGTCGACCGGCTGTTCTTTGATCAATCGCACAGCTTCGTCGGTGAATACATCAGTGGCGTACTTGCCGACCACATCCCACGCCATAGTGTCGTTTCGTCGCATATCAAACCCGTGGAATTCGCCAAAATTCTGGTACTGTAAAATAAAACAGAGACTGTTAAAGACGGTCGTATGTTATTTTTCTAAAGCATAAACTACTTTAAACAACTTGTTTATCGGAAAAAACTCAAGTGTTTGGTGAAATGGTAAGATTCCGATTAATTCTTTCGATTTTAAATACACAGAAGACTTTCGTTGGTTGCATTGGACTCTGATTTTTGAAACTTAATGTTTTCAGAAATTGAAATATATGTATATGAGCGTATAATAATATCATATATTTTTAAGTATTTTGAATGGTATTTTTTTGGCGTTATTTAGTGTTTATTAAAATTTCAGAGTCCAATTTGACTTAAATAAAGTTTTTCACATTGAAAAAAAATTATCATCAAAATTCGACTATTTTATTAATTTGAATAATATTATAAAATTATCTTAATGGCCTGAATTTTTGCTTTTTAATAAACAGCCGGTTCCGATGTTATTAATTAATTATCAGTAAATGAGTATCTATTCGTTATAATAATATTATATTGTAAATAAGCTTATAGAAATATGTTATAATAATTAATGAATTTTATGCTTTAAAAAACTTTCCTGAAAAAATAGATAATGTTAAAATTATGCAAAATTAAAAGCTCAACATTGAATTCGTTTGTAATCAATTAAAACTTTATATTAAGAAATTTATATTTTACATTAATTAAAAAAAAGTACATTTTCATATAAATTCACAGCTTTAATAAAATATTACACATTGAACTCGCGGAAGAAAACGAATATATTTGACTTACGACGTCTTGAAGTATGTAATCGTAGTAACTGACGTATCCTGTGTAATAGCCAAAGTGCGAGTCGAAACCTCGCCGCGTGGGCGTATAGGCCAGTTTGTAGAAACCTAAATGCCATTTGCCTATGGCCCGAGTTGTGTATCCCAATTCTCTGAGATATTCCGGTAACAGTTTCTCGGACAGCGGTAAGCCATTTGGTTCGGCGCCGTAAGTCGGAGGACCTTGCATACCTGTTTACAATTGTTATTGTTTATTGGAAGTTATTATTATTATTGAAATGCAATGCGTAGTTGTGTTGATATCACTCTTACCAAGGAAATAAGTTTTAAGTTTATACTTCATTTATTTGTAACTCATAAATAATTTAAAATGTATAATGTAATATTATTCAAGATAAATTGATAAAATTATTACTTTTAATCGTAGGTATTACACGTATTATAATAATATTAGGTATTAATTTAAAATAAAATAAAATCTATCCTCAGCTTATATTATACGACGAATGTTTTAAGAATATTGAACTGTATATTGTTAATTTAATATAATTTATTGTAATTTACCAATATTTGCATGTAAAAGCTCAAACTAAAATAATAAATAAGTAGGTATAGTGAATAACCAAAAAAATTGCTGAAGTTAAACCTATAGGTTTAATTGATATTCAGTGTTAGGAAATTAATTATTAATTTTCTAAAATTTGTTACTCTTTGCTTTTCAAATATTAATAAATGATCTGCATAATAAACTTGATATATGTATATTTTTGATTCGGGGAGTTCAAATTTTTATGAATCCATATTTATTTTGTCTAATTCTGTGTACATGCAATAACTGAAATAACTGATAATTTGTTATTACTAGAAACTAATAAATATTTGATTTTCCTTTTTTCTACAAAATATCTTTTATACATTTTTATGAAATTGGAGAGAATTTGATTTGAATAATTTTGTTACCTTCGCGTGAACCTTAATAATGATTATTTACCTAATTTAATCGGATACTTTCCAGTCATCAGAGCCACTCGAGATGGCGTGCACACCGGTTGAGTGTATAAATTGTTGAGTACAACACCGTTGAATGCCAGCGCATCAATGTTAGGTGTCGGGATTTCATCAGAACCGTGAAAACTTAAGTCGTTCCATCCCTGCAAATTTGAAAATTGTTATTATTATTTTTCAATTTATTTCATCATCATCGTTTACGTAACCAACGTATGTAACAGTTTGGCAGAAATTCAGGAAAAGGAAAAGGTTTTTTGAAGATTAAAAAGAAAAATTCTGGTTAAAATTTCAGTTGAAAAATATATTTTTACAAAAAATATCTGATAAATTGGAAAATCTATAAAATGTATGGTTTATTATAATTATATCATTTTGTTTTTATGAAAATAAAAATAAATTTTAATACTATTACAAATGGATGTAAGAATATTATTAAATCAATTTTTTTCAAACAACATTCCTTTTTAAATTGAGTCCATATTGATTTTATAGTTGTTATACTCGTATTTCAAGTAATTAATTTTCTGTTATTAAGTTGTTTATTTTATTTTTGGTGATGTTTTAAAATCGCCATAAAAATTTAGTTTTTGCTCTATACTTAAAAATTGTAGATAAATTGCAACAAATGACATTGCAAGAATAAATATTAATATTAATTCGCATTATTATGATATCCATTAGATATAGGTAGTCATAAAGAGATATTTTTTTTTCAATACCATGCAAATACATTTTGCAATTACAGAAATTTCAACTTTCTTTTTTTCCTAGATTCCAAGTAACAATCAAAGTATTAAAAATAAACCAAACCATGCTACATCGCCGATGAATGCGGCCGATATACGTGCGATTTTATCATATGTGACTTGTCGTGTGTAAGATGTTTTTTTTTTTTTTTTGTAATATTGTTGTTTCAGTTTTAAGCGATTGTACCTACATTACATACCTGTGAGGCAACACAATTATTATTATTTTTTTTTTACAAATATTTGTTGTCTTTTTTTATTCAATTATTATTTAATATAAATGTCTTAGTTTTAATAGACTCAATAATCAGTGTATTGACAGTACACTACCAGTAAGACGTCTGTATAATATGATTAAGTTATTGATATCGAAAATATGAAAACCGGTCGTTTTGTGAAATATGTAATCAAGACAACAAATCATAACGTATTGTTTCTGACACGGAACGGGATGCTGAAACTAAAAAAAAAAAACGAGAGAGAACGGACAAATAAAGTGTTTTATAGTTCATAATATATTAAAAAACTAATAACTACATAGGTATTTAACATTATATTATTGTGCTCTATTGAGAATTTGTTTTCCGAACGCAATATTTATACAGATTACAATCAATTTGCTTTCTCCGGTTTCGCGCCGAACTGAGCGAAGCGAAAACGTTGATGTTTTAGTCAACGCATATTATCAAGGCCAATGTCATCGTATTACTTATACAGAAATAATTTAGACAGCGAGGAAAATACACATAAACAAACACACACACACACGCTCGTAAGTATTGTCGAAACACGGCGGTGACATATGCGGTCGACCTATTGCACTTTCTATATCCGCAAAACTAAACGCCCGCGCCGCCGTCATGATTGTGTGAAGCAACGTGTGTCGTCAAGTTGTTGTATTATTATAATATATAATGTATAAAGTGTACAGCAGGTGGTCGAGTTACACGAATTGGAAAACGAGCGAAAAACTAGCTGTCAGACGTCATGTTCCATCTCTCGCGGTCTTATAATAGGTCGTGTGATATGTTTGCGAAGACCCATTATTCGAGATAAGTCGTTATATTTTTTATTTCAGCTCCGTTGACTTCACCTCTGGGTTCGGGCCAAAAATAAATACATAAACCAGTCGAGGAATGATTATACGCTATATTATAAATTGTTATCTTTTTTATAACAAAAAACAAAAAAACAACTCATATTATAATATATAATATTATATATAAATATATATTTATAATTTAAAATGAATACAATATGTAGGATGTTAAGTTAACAGTCGTTTATATCTAATATAAAAATGTTACATAAAAAAGGAACAAAACAGAAACTGTTTGATGTTTACTGCATTATAATTTTTTAATATTTTTTTTTATAAATAATGAGGTACATAATCTGAAAATATTTTAATTTTGTAATAAAGGTATCAATTGTTATTTTAATAATGTTCAATCGATAATGTATCGTTTAATCTTATTGGCAAATAAGAAATGTATCTACCTGAATATTTGATATTGATTAAAAGTGGTGAACATTTTTCTAGTTTCATTAAAATATATTTTTTATATTTTTCCAAATATTCTAACCCCCATAGATTTATTATTATTTTTAGTGTCTGTTATATATATATATATATATATATATAAAAAAAATACTCCGATATTTAATTATTTAAAAAATGAAACTTATTTTTATCGAAGTTTAATCATTATTCTTTAGATTTTGAACGGAGTTATGAATACATTAATTTTACGATAATGCATGTTTTTATTTAAATATTATGTATAAATAAATTAGTCTTTATTAATTTTGTTTAACTTGAGAAGATGAAAAAGTTAGTAATTTTTCCAGCTTTAACAATTCCGGCCTTAGATCTATTTAATAATGTACAATGCACATATGGCTAAAAATGGTCTTTAAAATCAATGTCAAAAATGAACGTTTTAAAATTAAAACGTGTTTGTCAGTTGTATCACATAAATTAACACAATGGCTATTTTCATTCAATATCATGTAATATTTTATTGAGATTTTCATACTTTTTTTTAATACTCTGACACTTGATATCTGCAGTTTTTAAAAATAATGTTCAAAATAATGCTTTTAGAGTTTAAAAATAAAGAGGATAAACTGGAAATCATACTTTTGATTAATTTTAATATTATGTTCATTTGCAAAATATTCGATGTAAAAATAAAAATACGCATTAATATTTTCGTAATAATATGCATACAATTATTTTTATAAATAAAAATTACTCATATATTCTAGAAGATCGTTTAACAAAATGTCAAATGCAGCTTACCTTCAAAAAATTAACTTTGTGGAATTTATAAAAACAAACTATAATTTTCACTGCGCGTTTTTTACTTTGTATTGCTTCAAGATATGAGCTCTACTTAAGGTTAATGTGTACGTGTTCGATGGACCGGGACTAAACACAATGTCCGTTTTGGAATGTCCTCTCATGCGACGGTTTATCAATATTCACTCCGGTATCATACACTGATCTGTGGATGGTGTAGGCACATGACAGCCGTAGACTTGTCAATGGACGAAATTTATCAAAAGAAAAACATCAATGAAAATATGTCTCGCTAAATACTATTACTCGTCTGTTCAAAATTCAAATTAATCGATCAAATGGCCCATAGAAATTAAGGTGAAAAAGTATCACAGTAGGGAATAAGTACCTATTATATGGCTATATATTATATATATATTATTTTATACCTACCTACTTACCTACCTATACAGAGTCTATTACAATGATCTGACGCATTAAAATGTAATTTGAATCTAAAATCGTCATATAACCATGATACACCGTGTAGGTATATTATTATGATTTATAAAATGTAGGTTGCTGTAGTGTATCGGTAAGACGGTTGAGCATTATAATAATACATTATAGCAGTTCAATAGAAACCGTTTATATAGCGTCTATATCGAACAGCCATAGGCACTGTCTTTGCCAAATGGATCTCAAATTATTGTTATCATTAGGTATTCAAAATATAATGTATAATAATATAATATGTGCGCTTATACTGCAAATTTAATACTTAAGTGTATCACGGTCAATTGAAATTTTATTTTTTAAATGGAAATTTGTTGTTAAAGGGGTTTTCGAATTTATAATTGTGTGACACGATTATAAATTATTGATTTTTACTACTAAACTATACACGATTTATACGGCACCATGATATACATAAACACATTTTGCGCACATTTTCCCTGTCAACGTGATTCGTATTACAATACATGAAAATAAGGACGAGCCCACGAGCTATGAGCATACAAAATTAGTTGTTGAACTATATTTAGGTAAATATATATTTATATTATTTCGTCGTGGCGAATTATTATAGTTTTCACCCAAATTATTGGTCATTTCATCAAAATTTATAAAACATCAAAGTATTCAAATTATATTTTTAAGTTTTTATAAATTCGCTATTCATTATTTTTAAGGACGTTTATTGCTACTATAATAAGTTATATAAAACTTAATTCTTAAGATCGTTTGTTAATAGCATAATTGCAATTATTAATAATGATAAAATTTTGATAGGTACACGTCTTGAATATTTTCATATACTTTAAAAAAATGTATTAACAATGTTATATTTTAAAAAAAGTTCTTGGTTCTTAAAAATACCCCTCTTTCAAGAGACCACAAAAATGTAATTTTATTGTTTTTGTAGGGCGTAGAAAATATTTACTTTTCTGTATGAATAGTCGACCGTTACGACCGCAAAGCCGCAAAATGTTTGCAAACTATATTATCATATGCAATGTCAATGCTTTCATCGTGTACACTCAAAATTTTATTACTACCATTACAGTTGCTAATGTTTATTAATGTCAAGACTGATTATGATTTTTACGTAACGTCTAAAAGCGGGTCGTCATCCTGTTTAACACGTCATGATCAGTTGCAATCCTTTGCCCTTATACATAGGGCGAAAATCTGAGATTATGGTTGAAACATTTTAGCGAATCGACTTTCAGAAAAATGAATAAATTTATTAATCATAATATTTTATTATTTTATTCTCCCTCCTTTATTTAACTCTTTTGGTGTTGCTTTTGCATTCCTTCCATAAAACATTATTATTTAATTAATATTGTTTTACTATGTAATAAATTAATGAAAAATGAAGTAATTTAGAAAAACATTTGTGTATGTTCAGAATTTATCGATTCTTCTATCTGTTTTAATGTTATCTAAATCTAATCAAAAATCTTTTAGTAGAAGGTTAAATAAATGCCTCATTAGTTCTACTAATATTTTAACTTTTGATAATCTCTTTTTCCTACTAAAGATTATTAAGAAGACAATCGCTCTAAAAATATTGGTTCATTATAATAAAATTTCAAAAAAGTAGTGTGTTTAAAGTATAAAACTTCGTGTACTAAGGATTATCCTAATCCCCTAATATTATAGGTTCTGTAATAATGAGTTTCAAAAGTATGGGAGTTATAAATTTACGGTACTAATAACGCGCATTTTCAATGATGATAATTTTTAATTGATTTAAATCGATAATCCTTGAATCTTAGGTTTATATGCCAGTGTTTTAGAATAAGATTTGTTTCCACCAACAAGTTGTAGGGCGAATCATGCCATTTTGACATTACCTATACGTTTCTTAAGTATATTTTGGTATAACTTATACGCTCGACGAATTCGTTACCTTCGACAAATACCCGCATTGATTGGCTATTGTGACACACGAACTTGGTATAATTGGTTAAGTATAGGAAATCGGCGCGACTAGGTTGTAAAATATATTTTAATAAACCACAATGATGATTATTATTATATAGGTACCTATCGTTGTTGTTATGCGAAATGCCGAAAGCGCCTGATGTAATAATGATAGCATTCAACAAATTGCAATATTATCGTAAAAATTGAGCGTCACTTATTCGTTCACCCCTTTATGATAATAAACTCATAAAATATTAAAACAACCCATGCTATGATCGTCGAACACGTATTTCACCAGAACCAATCAACGATTTTTCACTTTTTGTGGTACACGTGTGACGTGTCCTTGCTGTGGGTTCTCACATTCTAGCTGGGTTCACTACCCTTGGCCGCGGAAAAATAAATGCATGTCGGTGCAAATAAAAGAGTTGTTTATTCCCCGCGAATCGAGTTAATGTAAATTACATACCAAACTCAACAATTGTTATTATAATAACAGTTGTACTATTAAAATATTCTTTTATTTTTAAATAATTAAAATAATTTACCATTCTCGAATTTCGTAAATAGTTCAATTATCTCAGCAATAGTGCATAATTTAAATAATATCATTGCAATTCTTTCAAAGTTCAAAGTTTTCACGAAATTAAATCAACTGGGAAATACACATTTTTTTTTTTCAAGTCAATAATTCAATTTGTAATAATTATTAGTTGAACATAAATTAGCTGATTCGGAAGCAATACGTATTTGAAACGTATTCATTATATACACCTCATACAATATAATATAATTATTATTTGTTGACGGTAACGGTGTAAGTGTGTTGCAGCCCAACCTCTAAATAACGTACGAATTGCGGCCCGGGTTTATGAGAGGTCCGTATGATTTACGGCTCGGGTTTATGAAAGGTACGTACAATTGCGGCCATACATTAATGTATATAATATAATATAAACTATATTAAATATTCACAGCAAAATAAAATTTAAAATGTAATAAAAATACGTAAATATATGTTCAGTCACGAGACTCCTACGATTTGAGCACGAGTACAATCTTACAGCACAAGAAAACGATCAGAAGTATGATGGTTTTAGCGCAACCGAACGGACTTGTCGTGACAAAAGTAACGTAGCTGAGTCTGCGGCAACAACGTGAAGACGGACTTATTCACAAGTAAAGGTCATATGGGTAACTGCTCTACGTATACTTTTATAAATTTAAGGTAATATATTATATAAAAATATAACTTCCCACACGTATCGAACATTTCATTTACCGTTATTTGTTTATCGGTATGTACGTATATCCCATATAGGTAATGATAATTACTCGAGTCATAACTCACCCATATTCGACGGTAAATTATGCGTATATTATAAAGAAGTGTTAAATCGCGTTTTGTAAACCCCGTATTTTGTAAAAAGTAATTATTTCTCAACTGATGTTATAATTTACTAACAAGTTACAATACTATTGCACTATTTGTAAGTCTCAACTTGCATTGTTTTAAATTTATTTAACATTCTTATTAATAAATACATTTTGGTAATTTCCACTAATCATAATTAATGGAACACTGGCCCCTAAAGTTATTTTTATTAATTCTGATAGTATCCATTAAATGTTACTTCTTACTGTTGGCGTTAGACGTTAATAATTTATATACATTGTGTTGTTTTTTAAGTTCCTGTCTACGATATTACATAATGTTGTATATAATATTGTAGATGGCTTATAACATTTTGAAAACTGTGATTTCGATTTTTTGTTGAGGAAATACGTGAATACATTTTGAGTAATAATCGTGTTTATAATTATATATGCGGGATTTTTTTTTTAGCTTATTTCCGCCTCAGTACGTTTTTAATATAATACAGATGTAAAAATTATGATAATTAGGTAGATATTATCATTTATATGTATACTAGTTGTACCCATAACCAACTTCGTGTGTGAAAGAATAAATAAATATTGAAGACAGTGCTATATAGGTGTGTCTTAATTTTAGTATACCTCAGTTCTTATGGTTACATCAATTCGTCAGAGATAACCATACTTGGTTTATTTTCGAATGTGGTTCTAATTACTCTCTAAGAATAATCTATGAAATTTTCAAAATATCGGTTGAGTAATTTTTGAGAATTTATAAGCTTTGAAAATTCTTCGTTCATTTATAACATTTATAAATAGATCATATAAGTCTCTTTTATTTCTGTAAAATACGACAATCTTGTATACAAGTAAAACCAGTATTGGATTTTTATGTACTAAAACAAAATTTAAGTGTATCTTAATATATTGAGGTTGAAAAACGAAGCTACAAACATTCTCTGAGTTTTAAGTAAGATGTGTGAAAAATTTATTGTTAATAGGTTCGATAGTTTTCAAGTTAATCTCCATTCTAACGTATAATAATTTATAACTTAATATATAAATAGATAAATATTATATTTTAAATTATACATTACATTTGGGTTTTATTTTCATGATATGTGTTATAAATAATTTCGTTTTTAATATAGTGTGCTTTAAGAGAATATTTTACAGTAAATATTGGGTAAAATTGTGTATTTTATTAGTTTATGTTTACACATATTATTGGTAATTTTTTATAATGTAACTACACTTACTTTTACATTATATTTTATGATACACATTTACTTGTCAACACTATAGTAATGGTCCATTAAGAGTTTTGAGTGTTTTGACTGATAAAGTTGCATAATAATTCTCAAATATTTTACACATTATATAATGCAACATACAACATGTACTATAGCGTGTGAGTATTCGGTAAAATTATAGTAATTTTTGAGCAGTTTATATACAATATATTTGTTAGTTTTTTTTTTTTTTTAATATTGCCAACTATTGGATTGTTGAACATATATATATATAAATTAAAAATTGACAAATTTACGGCTATAAAGTTTATAAACAAGGTAAATATGTGGAACAAGAACCGCGAATTTTCACGCAATAAACTGTGCACGGCGATAATAATTTATAATAATATTATAGTAATAAAATAACGCGTTTTTTATTTTGTTAAAAATTTCGAAAAGTATTGTACATATTAAACTATTACAATAGTAATGCTGATATTTGTCTCACGGAGACCAAGTCCAAATTAAGTCTTCTATAGGGTCAGGGACCAACAATTATTAGTTGCAATCAACCATCGAGATAAACAAAAAAAATCAGTCCAATTGTCATAAACGGTATACATATTTAGTAAAATGTTAAGTGTGTTTTTCGAATTCAAAATAAAAATCTATAAATTATGTGTAGAAATACAGTAAATTTAACCTATATAAAAGAGACATTACAAAAACGAAAAAAATTATTATTTAAATGAAAAATTAAACCTGTTAGATTATGAGAATTATTTTAAACTTAGACATATCCCATGCGTTTGATGTAGTTTTTAAAGTAAACAGTACAACTAACAGATTAACGATGATTTTTGTGCTAAATAAAGTAAGTATCAACTTATTTGATATAATTTGGGCCATAATACATATAAAATAATAGTGTGTAATTTATCTTAGTCGTTCCGTGAACGAATTTGTCTTAAACGTAACATTGTGCCTTACCAAATCGTCTGCCATAATGAAAACGATGTTCGGCTTGGAAGTTTGAGGTCTGGCTGGTTGCAAGACGACGGCCAACACGACCAGGAGCCACATTGACGATCGTGTGACTTCCATGAGTCTTCAGTGTATGGGCGGTGGTGACGGCGACTGTGCGAGTGACTGCGACGAAGTTTAAGCAAATATATTTAGATATTGAACGCGATTATGGCAGTCTAGCTGATATCGGTTTTCCGAACGGCGACGGCGGTGTGAATAAAAAAATAACGACGAAAAACGACGGGTTTTCCCTCTTCTTTTTTTTCTATATATATGGCCTAATTCGCGTATGGACGGAAAAGAAAAATCGCTACTAAGTGTGCCGTTGATAAATATTATATTATATCTTTTCACAAATTTTTCAACGTGTGTATAAATACGATATACTTATTTAATATATATTTGTGTAAATATTTATATGTATGTTGTATATTAGTAAATTATGTTTCGGAACGATTTACACAATGTAGTGCAATTCGCGGGTATCTCGATGATAATATTATATTAATATTAATATTTTATCTTAATACTGTGCTTGAAAATGAAAATAACAAATACATCTACAAACGTGCACGCGTAATATTATTTCGAATATACCCGGAAGACGTGCGAAACATAAACGGATACGATCGGAGCACTTGTTCCGACTGGACTGTGTCCGCTAACAAATTCTGCACCTATTTATACTAACGCTTGATATACGGCCAGTGGATTTTTATTCATCATCCGCCTTCCGCCAATAACTTAAATGTTGTGGCCTCGTGCAGTACAATAAAACATATTTTGCAGTAAGCCCAAAGCACGGTTATTACATACAATTATCATCATCCTATGTACTGATAAAATGGATAAAAAATTATATGTCAAATTAGAATATAATTAACGTATATGGCTAAACAAATAGGTACTTCAGTTTTTGCTATTGAGAAGTACCAAAGGTTAAAAACACCGTTTTTATCAGTAGACTAATTAGTAAGGTTTGGATTTGAAGGCAAATAATTTTTTACTTTTGGTTAATGATAGTAAAATACTTTTTACATAAAAATGTGTTTCATAATTACTAAGGTCATGTATAAATAATGTTTTCGCTTTTTTTGACTATTTTTCATATGAAAATGGGGTTAGCCTTTCTTTTTGCTCTTAATTATCAATTAATTATATAGTAGTTTTAATTTTTTATACATACTTACGGATTTACGATACAAATCTACAAAATCTTATAAAGATGATGCGTTGTAAATATTAAGTTTAAAACTACTTTTAATTAATATGCTTAATGAAAGTACCTATACTACCAATAGATTAAAATGTGTTCATGACGGGTGAATATAAGATTATTTTTCAATAAATGCTTTTCACTCATTTTTCGCGTTTGAAATACTCTTTTTTATTGTTTATATTGCTTTTAAATCCGAACCTTATTAATTAATTACTAGGCATTGATATAGAACTATAATTATGTGAAATAGTAAAATCAGTATACGTCATACGTCAAAGCTAAGATTTAGAAGTTACACAGATAGGAGTAGATTACTTAACATTAGACAAAAGTTATATAATACTGGATTGGTTATTATCTTAATGTTAGATGAATGTTTGCCGTGGATTTTGTTAATTGTCATAGCCATCTTGCCGCGCGAGTACCTTATAGATAATCCCAGTTCTAGGACTTAATATATTTGCATTTAGCTTTTTCTATTTTATTAAAGTATAATTGTATTACAGTGTATTTAAAATATTCTATTTTATTTTAATTGTATTTACAAGTTTTTCATTATTTATTTTATGAACTATCAACGCCTCGGACCCGTTTTGAATGTGCTATGTTATTTCAAAAATAATTATTGTCGTAAGTAACACTATGTCCCGAACAGCGATCATTGCGTATTTTACGATATCCGTGAAATTTATTTACCGAGAGCAATTCGAGTTTAAATATTGCAAGACCGCTGCTTATACCTCACCTTCTTCACCGAGATATTTTAATATTGTATTTGTGTGTTTCACCGTAAGTGTATGATATATTATAGTAATACGTAATACAAAATATTTTACCAAGCAAGTTCAGTCCAATTTTTGATTAATATATTATATAAGTGGAGCTATTGGTTTTTATAAATCGTAAAAAATATCATTTCTCTCTATAAAATAAATGTTGGTTTTTCTTTAAAAAGTTATTTTCCCGTGTAATCAAAACTTGATTTTACTTAATTAAAGATTAACCATATTAGTTTTATACATAATATTATGTAAGTAAAAATAAAATTAATGTATAATAACATTATCATTTTGTAAAATATTAATTATTTTACATTTTTTGGTAGATTTTTATTGTTATTATTTATTTGAAAAATTAAGTAGATTTAATAATAATTATTAAACCTACTTAAATAAAATATATAATTTCATTTTTAAGTGCTAGTTCTTTGAATATATTATGGCAAAATTTTCATACTTAAGAGTTTATAACATTAAATATCATCATGCAACTATCATGATTCATGGTTTCGTGCATTTTATCTGTACCATTTACAATTTATTTATTATAATAAAGTATATAATAATAATAAAATAGACAAACAGGAAACACTGACGTTCCGTGCCGACGTATCACTATGTGATGTTTAAAAGACCACGTGCGTATTATTTTAATATAATATCTATAATACATGGAGAAAAATTGCTTATTTTTATACCTTTCTTTCCAGACCTGTAGGCTGTAACGTGTGATAAATTTGGATCGAAAGAATCGTCAGACACCAGGCAAATGGGTACAAGTGATGGCAGTGATACTTAAAAATGTCGTTCAATTTATGTGGATACCTTGCAAGTAAATTTTCAAGTGTTATATTTAACCTATATAAGTATAAAATAGTTCGTAAAAGTACAAATTTTTACCACATTGGATGATGACTCTTGCATTCGTATTTCGTACACATAGTTATTTATACATATACATTGTAAACCTATTCGTTGTAGTTGTGTTCATGTTTGTCATTCATAATAGAAGAATATTAATAATATTTTGTCAAGTACAATATAAAACGTGATGTATCATGACGTATTGTATAATATGTAAGTAATACAAATAAGTACATACATGTTTTTAAAATATTATTTTTGCGATTAAGTTTTCTAGTTGGCCATATTTTCGCGATTGATTTTTAATCACGTCTCTCAGATAGTATAGTATTCGTATCGCTTGTTGAATCCAACGTAACCTAATAGCCTAATTTAAGTACATTTACAACAACTATCGATGAACCATATCATCAGCAAACACTAAATTTATAAGTTGACTGTTATTGTAACATTTTATATTATTTATTAATATTATATATTCATAAACCATTAATCGTAATTCATAATAGCCTTTTTTGACATTAATATGTCTTATAATATAATATTATATGGGGGTTAAAGTTAAAAAAATATGTAAAGAAAAAATGTAACATTTTTTGATTTCTCTAATAACATATTATTTTGCGAGGTGAAAACTAACAGAGTGACATGTTCTCAAATACACATTCGAAATTTTTCGTGTTGAATATTTACAAACACAAAATTATTTTTCGTAGTTTTCCTAACATAAATCATTACTTACAATTACCTACTTGTTGTTATAAATAAATAAACCTCAAGATTAGGATAAAAGATCATTAGTATGTTTTAAAACAGTATGACCTACCATAACTCATAAGACATACGAGTATGTTTTAAATGATTTCATGTTTTTTCCAAAATGTAGAATCTAAAGGTTTTTGAAAAAATAAAATGTAAAATGTATACGAATAATCAATAATAAACCAAATTAATATATATAAACTCATAAGCTATAATTTATAAAAAATTATTTGTATTGAATAATATTGAACTACAATTTATTAAACAAACCATTCTTGAAGCAAGTGTATTATCATTCGTTATAAAATAATACGGTTTAAATCATATTTTCTTGAACTTAAAATGATACGTTTTTTTTCATCTTACTATCATCATCAACGTAAGATTTATTGTATAAAAACAAATAACGAAAATGTGTTCTTGATTTATCATTAATGTAGACGTGTAGTTATATGCAAAGTTTATTTAATCTTATAATCTTTCCGTTGTTTGTCTTTATGATAATTCACATTAATTCAATTAAAAGTTGTTACAAAACAATAACATAACGTTTAATTTGAAATTATTTAAAATAAAACTCTTTATCGTTAAATTGTTTGTATAAAACAAATAAAGAATGTCCTTCAGAATCCTATTTAATTCAGGAAATCATGTAACATGTTAAAAAAACACATTAAAAAAAACGATTGAGGTTCTATTTTATTTATAATTGTATTATCTACGTATTATTACTGTTTGATTTATTAAATTTCGTTATGTTGACCGGTTTTTAAAAATAACACAATAATACATTTCCTGGTTAGTTATATTGTAACACACCTATCTGTTTATTAAAACCAAGTGGTTTTCGATATTTTTATCTAACTTTATCCAGTTAAAAAGTAGTTAGTTAGCTATTCCCACTACATGAATCGGTCTTAAGAACCGGGTTGTTGAATTGATATAAATACATTTTTTTAAGTTATATTTCACAGATCCTAGAAACTTATGACCTGCGTTCATAAATTAACACAATAGAAACGATATTATAGTAACGTATTACAAGGTTTATTCATGTGACTAAATATTAATATAATTATACAGTAGGTACACTATTACCTGTGTAACCCTGTTCTTGATGGTAGTATTTACTATTTTGAAGATCACAGGTGTAGCGGAATATGTGTTATGTTGAAGCGATTGAATATTATTATGATTTATCTATAAGGTAGATTATTATATCTATAGTAAATCGAACTAAATATGTTACTTAAAAATATAGAGATGACTGTTGTTTTCACGAACAAAACTTGATTGATTAGCTATATCAATAATTTGTACTTGTACTCTACGTTCCTATGTTCTTGTAACATGTATATCGTTACACTATCACATATCATAATTTGGTGAGTGTTCTTAACCTGAAGTATCTAAATGTATCTAAGGTATCTATGTGCTTATACATGCTAGTTTTTAGAATATTAGTCATATTAGTTATGACTATGCCTATATTTATTATTGTAGTCATAGTTTATCTACTGTGCTTACGTTTATGGATATATAAATATTCTTATAAATCGTTTATTGGTTGACCTAACCGACTTATTTTGTGTGGAATATTTTTGCGGAATACATGAATAATTTGTTATATTTCCCACTATAAGATATAGTACCTACCCGGGAATAATATTGTATTTTTTAATATTAAATTTCAATTACCGATTAACCACGATAATCTGATCATTTCTGACAATTTATTTTTGTGATGATTTAATCAATTTTCAGGTAAAAAATCTAAAAAAACCTTAAAAAGTTTCAAAAATTTAATTTATTATCATCATGTGGAATTTTAATCGAATTCACGAGTAAAGGAAAGAAACAGTTTTCAATCGGTAAAATAAAAATATCTTTTCGTGGGTATTTTATTTTTTGAACGAGTAATTTCTGATTCATTAAAATGAATATAGTCAACTAAGGATAATAATCCTTAAAAATTTTTTTACAAAATTATAAGATATACGAATATGTAATATTTAACT